CGCACCAGGCACCTGAGACACATTATCTTAATTCTCTAACCAGCAAACATATATTGTTCAGTGAAACGTCCTCTCCCCCAAACTTTGACAACTCTTCAAGGATGCTTCCCAGCATTAGACCAGCTTGTCACTTGCCAGGAAGGTGGCCTTGGCAAGCTGTTTAACACTGTTTCCTTATCTATAAACTCACCGGCTGACCTGTCACATTGGTACTGAGACTACAGTGGTTAACAAAACCTAGAACTAAGTGCTCCCTAAGTCACCATGACTGTTACTCCAACAGACCCTGCTTTTCCTCTGGGAATACCCACCTTGGCCACCCCTACGGCTGGCAGGATTTCAGTGAAGACAACTCTCCTTGCTCCATCTACTTGGGACAGTATGAATTTTATTGATTAATGGATTAAACTGTGACCTGAGACCATGCTTGTTTCTGGTATCACACAGCCTCGTTGTGGCTCTCTCACTTTTTACATAATTATTTCTCAACGTTTACCTGAGGAAACTGGGAAGATAGAGGCTTTTACATCTCCCCCAGTCCGCTGCCCCCAAATAATCTGCGGCAGAAGCCATCGGGTGTCCACGGAACGCACCGTCTCCTTTCACAGGAACTGGAACAGCACACAGGCCCAGGCTGCTGACATTCCATCTGCCCGGCAGTCCACGTGGGAAGACTTTGCCAACGGGATGTGCTGAGGTGTGATGTGCACCTCTCACAGGCTGAGCCCCACACAACTTCCCAGGCTGCACGAACTGTCTGTCCCCTTCTGCTGGATGGATGCAGATGGCAGGTCCTGGAGATGGCGGCCCCCAGATGGAAATGACCTTTGGGTCCCTGAGGGACTGTGGTGGTGCCAGAGGAAGGGTTGCCCTGCACACCTCCATGCCCACCCTAGACCTGCTACATAATCAAAAACCACGCTGACTCTAACCTCTAGCCATGGTGCCACTGGGAGACATTTCTACTGTCCTTCCTGTTCACACGAGTAACAGTTCGCATATGTGAATTTGTGTTTTTCTTACAGTAAGTACTTTTCTGTATATTATATATTCTTCATAATTTAATGGTTGTAGACTATTCTGTAAAGTAGCTGGTCAACTTGTAAACCACAATGGTTGACATTTAGTTCATTTCTAATTTTGTCTCTAAATAATGTTATAATGAACATTTTTGTGCAGACGGCTTATTCTATATTTTGACTCATTTTTAAAAACATGATCAGAATTGGCATTATTCACAGGTTATAAGCACACTGTTGGACATCTTTTCACAGAGTCTGAATCAATTAGTTTAACATAATTAATGTGCTCATTTCATCAGACTTTGAAAGCAAAAGGATCTTATAAATATATAATAGTATAAACTCATGTCAATTTGATTTTTAAAAATTTCCCCCCCTTTTATTCTGCATTTCTTTGATCACTACTGAGGTCGAACACTTTTCCACGTTTGTTAATTAGCTGAGTGGATGAGAAGGGGGCCACATGCTAACCCTGACAAGCTCAGGGGAGGCCTGCACGGTGATCTTACAAACTCGAGACCAAGGGCAAGCACACAGGGTGGTCTGACTGAAAGCAGTGCACGGGGGGCAGTCACGACAAAGGTCAGTCTTCACCCTAACTGAGCCTGCCGTCTTTTTTCCTCCATCTATGATAACATACTTTGGAATATCAAAGTAATTTCCTTTCTTCTCGACCCCTCAAAGCACGACCCCTCACTAGAGCAGACCACAAAGCCCCTCACTGCTGCTATCATGGTAACTGTTGACTGGTACCCAGCTATATGACAGATGTGCGTATCTATCATTTTACTTTTACGCAACCCCAGAGATTTCCCTATTTTGCTTTCTCCCACCCCCCTTATCTATCACCAATGAATTTCATGTTACCCCATAAGCCTCCTCCTTTGATAGTAATATATAAAATACATGGTACTACTGCCATTTTCTGGAGCATTTTCTCAGTCCGTTGAGATTTTGCTTCCAGGCAGTTGTCGTCAGTTTGGCTCAAATTGGTAAACATTCTGCCAGGTTTGGTTGTTTCTCACATTGACAGTTGTACCTCCCCTTGGAAAAACTTTACGTCCTGCTATCAACTGGAGTCTACGTTTTCTGTAGATTTACATAATCTTGTATTAATAGATATTATCAAGAATCATCCGAAAGCAATTTATTAAAAGTCAGAACAAATATTAAGGCACAAAATACATCAATATTTTCAAACAAAAATCTGAACAGTTTTGTCTGACATTCAATTCAAAAGCAACTTTTTCCAAATTATACAATAATTTAACCTTTTTCAATAGAAAAAATATAACTTCTTCAGCCCCTAAACCTTCTTTCCCAATACACGTTTTCCTACTTCTAAAGAAGTTTCTTGGTGTGTAGTAAGCTCCTGCGTTATGATGACACATCCTTAAAAGTCTCGTTTGTCACATATCCATTTGGTACGCTGAGGACGTTATCCGTCAGTATAAGGTCTGGTGTTTTGTTCTGCTCACTGCATGCTGCTGATCATGCAAAGACGCACGTCATGTACCAAACCAGTGACTTATAAATCTAGTACAACATCTCAATTTTACACCAGTCCTGGATAGCCTAGTGCAACAGGCTCAAACCCTTTTTAAAAAAGGGATGTAAAACTCAACCTTATATGTACATTTTCATACTTTCAGTCTTGACATTCTATTAGTGCAAACATAATGTACCACATTACAGTGGGGAAGTTGACATTCTCTGTAGAATATGAAAGATTTAAAAAATTATTTTCTTTACATGAAAAGTATGGAAACGTTTATCTCTCAGCCTTTGAAGTTCATATATTCATCTAGTTTTTCTTATTATTAAAAATTTTTTTTCCCCTTTATTGATTTGAGAGAGGAAGGAAGAGGGAGAGAGATGGAAACATCGATGAGAAAGAACATCGACTGGTGCCTCCTGCACACCCCCAACTGGGGATGGGGCCCACAACCTGGGCATGTGCCCTGACCGGGAATCGAACCGGTGACCTCTTGGCGTCTGGGTTAAGGCTCACCACACCAGCCAGGTTAGTTTTTCTTATTTTTGAAATAAACAAACTTAACTATCCTTTAAAGCAGATACTAATACTAATTTAATTCAAATTATGAAAATTCCCTTTTAAGGAAATTTCATACCACATATAAATCTAGTATAAACTGCAAAATGCTTTCCTAAGAAAGCAAAACATAAAACTGGATTCTTATCCTCAGATCCCTCCTTTAATAGGAAGACCCATGTTTGATGGCACCCTAAGAATAAATTAATCTGACCTTAATGACCAGTTTCCAAAACCTTCACGCAGAAGCAGAATGACAGCAGCTCTAGGTCACTTCTCCCATGTCCTTCGTATAAACTACACTCAGCCCCAGGGTGCCCCCTCCTGTTCATGAGGGGCTCAGAAGGCCCTCCACAGGAATCCTCTATTCGGGTCACAAGGTATCAGCAAAGGACACAATGATCACTAACAGTGATAGACACAGTGCATGCCCTTTGGGAGAAAAAAAAAACTTTTCTTTTTTATTTACTGTTAATCCTCAACTGAGGATATTTTTTCCATTGATTTTCAGAGAGAGTGGAGGGGAGGAAGGGAGAGAGAAAGATTGATGTGAAAGAGACACATTAATTGACTGCCTCCTGCACATGCTCCGACCAGGGCCAGGGATGTGCCCTTGACCGGGAATCAAACCTGCGACCTTGCAGTGCTTGAGCCACTGAGACACACCAGCCAGGGCAAAAAAAACCCCATTTCTGAGCGGCGGTCAGGAGAGAACCCTATTTCTCTGGATGAACAGGAAAGCCTGCACTTCAGCCTGCAGCTAAGCATACAGGCGCCAGCATTTACTCATTTACTTCTCCAGCTGCAGAAAGCAGGTTTTTATAAACACTACTGAGGTTATGTCAGAGGCTGTTTCCCGTCGCACAGTGAACATCAGTCCCCACTCCCACCCCACTAGTGGGCAGCTCCTACTGGCTGGATGCCCAAAATTCTACATTCAAATTCTGCCACAGCCATGAGTTGGGGGTGAACCTGCCTCAAAATCCAGGCGGTGGTCACCTCTGGATCTGAAACGGGCGAGGATGAAATACACCAAAGCCCGAAAGGACCTGGGTGCTGGCAATGTACAGCGTGGGAGCCTAGGACTGTGGCAGACACTGAGAAAGGACTGGAACCCACACCGTGAACTCGGACGCTTGCCCAGGACGGACACCCTGCAGTGATGGCACCTTGAGCACCACGTCCTGTTCCGTACAACAGTTTTGATGTTCACTACTGAAAATAAATCAGAAAGCATCTTTCAAAAGACATTACTACTGGAAAGAAATCTTTTTTACTAGCCCCTGTGAAATAGGTAAATGAGAAGTAAATTCCAAAGAAAAAATTGTGAAAGAAAAATTTTGTTTTGTGGCTTCACAATAAAGAAATGAAAGGTTATATTTAAGTGCCTACACTGCTGAAGACTTGAATGATTCACAATCAAAATTCCTTTGAGGCATTCCTTACGCACGCGCCTGCACAGACAGACAGACCCGATTCTAACTGCAACTCCCACTCCGAGTGCCACTAGCCCCACGTCTCTGGTCATGAAAGCAGCAATCACATTTCCACCATATTGCTTTCAACTGCCTTTCAAGTTTAGAATATTCTACAGTAAAAAAAATTAAAACAAAAAATTTCAAGTCATACATAATAATGTATAAATTACAAGGTTGCCCTGGCAGGTTTGGCTCAGCGGTTAGTGTCAGCCCACGGACCAAAGTGTTGCAGGTTTGATTCCGGCCAAGGGCACGTACCTTGGTTGCAGTTCATGCCCAGCCCTAGTCAGGTTTGTGTAGGAGGCAACTAGTCGATGTGTCTCTCTCACATTGATGTTTCCCTCTATCTCCCACCCTCCCTATCTGAAGATAATGGAAAAATATCCTCTGGTGGGGATTTTTTTTTAAAGTTAAGAGAAAATAAAAAATAAAAAGAAATGACCAGATTAACAGTGATGTACTGTACCATTAAATAATATGACACAAAAGGCTCTGGTTTCCTCCAGGGCTACCCAGGGGGCCGGGAAGTGCTCTGGGGGAGCCACATGGCCAGGTGTCCACCACCTGCCCCAGGCAGGGTCGGCAGCAACACATGCCCATACAACCTGAGTGAGGGGACAGTGGCAGAGCAAATCTTTAAAAGTGACCCTCAAGACCTCTCTCTCCAAGTACTTGTGTCCATTGAGCTCAGAGAGTGAAGATGTCCATGATTTGATGTGCACTGTGATCATGACAAACAGGGCTGTGCAAACATGTGCACTGTTACACACACAGCACCCAGCCACATACATGTCCTATGTTCCAATGTTAATCAAGTTCTACTCACTATCAAATCACTTCAGTATAAAAGTCAAAGGAAATTATTATTGCATCTAGTGACTATAAACCCAAGAGATGGAGATAGTGTGTGATCATGTGTCATCTACCTCAAAGGTCTGTGGAAGAACAGGAAGAGTGTTTATGTAAAAATAATGTTAGATCTGGAATTGCCATATTTGCCAGAAAAAAGACAGCCCAACTCACATGTCTGCTACCCATCTGCTCGGGGCATTTGGGTATATACTTTATCATAATACTTTCCTCAGATTATTTCCAAGTCCAGGCAATTTAACGGACATAACTGACATTCAAGAGCCAGCTTAAAAGGAGTCTAGAACCCATCCACCCACTGAATTTGTCACTGTAATACATATATTTCCAAGATAATGCAATAAAAACTTGTTGCATGACCTCTTTAGTCCTAGGGAGTCCTTCACTGTTAACTAGGTTTCATGTATGTGGTTCCAATCACATTATCTTTTCTGAAGAGAACATTTTTTCTGCCATTTCAGATCTGGTCATAATTTCCTAAGGGGGAGAAAAAAGATATTCATCAAAATGTTGATGCTTTTTCAATAACCTAACAAAATTCTCTAATTTTTCAATAGTCATGATTTTTGTGGGGAACTAAGTATATTCTACTATATACAATTTATTTTCTGTTAGGTACGGAAAATAAAACCATATAACCCATCCTTTCCAGTATGTAGAGTCAATTACCTGCTGAGAAGTTCTGGAAACATTAAAGTCCTGCTAACTAGAACACATCTCAAGTTCGAGTCACCAGGGGGAGGCAGGGACAGTTCATCTGGGCATTGGCTTCACTTTACCAATTAATGTACTTTTGAATTAGAAATCAATGACTTATCAAATGAGTACTATAAATGCTCTTTTAAGAACAATTACATGGTAGAGTTATAAATCCTGAAGTCTGTTTTGCATCTGGGTTTTCAAAGCTCCCCACCCCACGACAGTCAGTCACCAGGCTGATGCCAAAGTCACTGGCCCTTCCTCTTGGTGAACAGACTGCAGCTCCCCTCATTCCACAGCCACCACACAAGTCACCCCTCAGCACCCCTGACTGCCCTCGACGCTTCTTTACATAAGCTAATGTCCCTACATCCCTCCTTTAATTCTTATACCTCACACTCCTGCCTGTCTTGGGCCACCTTCCGATGTCCAGATGATTCCTAACAAACTTTTCCCTCAAAAAACCTTCCTAAATCTTCATCCTCTACTCAAATTTCCTTAGTAAATAAAAACTGGTTAGAAATTCTAACACCCCAGCAAAATATCTACAAGTATGAGATTAATTCAGACAAACTGTCATCTTCTAAGCTCTACTTGTATAGAAGGTGTAGAAAATCAAAGACTCAAAATCTCATAAAATAGTTCTTCCCTACTTTTACACCAAGCATTTATCTCACTCCTGTTTTCAATGAGAATCCAGTTCCTTTAAACATTACCCACAAGTCAACGCAGTGTCTTTCAGCCTGCTCAATCTGTAATCATTTTAAAACGTAACTTTCAGCTGAAACGTATTTCAACTTTGTGAAAATAGTAGCCCCAACAAAGTTAGCAAAAATATATTTTACCTCATCTGAGTCTACCAACACTGGAAGAGCTCTGAAAAAAAAAAGAAAGAAAAAAAAAGTTGACAATGTCATTAAAAGGCTGGTGTCCCTAATAAAGCTGAATATGAGTACATGCTACACCCTACCAATTCTTATCCCACAGAGAGGAATACCTGGGCACACCAACAGAGAATTTTTATAGTGTTATTTTTAACAGCCCCAAACGGGTAAACTGGTATAGTCATACACTGGAATACTCTACAGCCTGACTGTTTTCCAGCGTGGAAATGGCTCTGGAATTCTAGTGTCAAACAGACACAGATAAAGAAGATCCTGAATAGCTCCAAGTTCTCAGAGTGGCTTCCTCTGCACCCTATTTTTCCTATGCTCACGTTTTTCCTCCAAAAGCTTCCTCATCAATACACGATGGTGTAGTTACACGTGTTCAAGAAAAGTGTTTTACACGTGTTTAAACTTCTCCATAATAAAAAGCTAAAAGAAAATAAAATTATATTGATTCTATAAACTTAGAAAAGGCTAGAGCTGGTAATAAGGCACAAGTATGAAAAGAGTTGTGCAGTAAAAAAGGGAGGAAAGACGGATCGAGGCAGGGCTGCATTTGCTTTGCGTTCGCTGTCGGGAAAGTCAGGCAGTCACTAGTGAAGGGGGCGGTAAAAGCATGGAGCTGTGAGGTCTGAAAAGCACATGACAAAGTATAAGCTCATCCTTTACACTCGACCCTAAATTTAGATTCAAGCTCCTGACAGGATATTTACACGTCTGCGAATGAAGAGGGAATATTTTCTTCCACCCACTTCAAATCTTCATCCTGTAGAAATAAATATTTACATATTAACCTTTGCTTAATATTACTTGAAAGCAGAATTTTAAAATAAAATGCATACAAAATTTAGGCATTTAAATTCAAGTGGATGACATTCTTTTAATTTCTACATATCCTAAGATGTTGGCACTAATGTCACAAAAAATTATATCAGTATTTTCTTAAACAGGGAAACAAAATTTTAGATTTTTAATTTTTGTAGTCTTGATTTTGGTTGGCTGTGCAGGTGTTACTTTTTGTCCTGAAGAAAAAAACCACATAAAAATTTTACAAAGAGTTGTTTACACAATAAAAAATAGCAAAAATATTGATTTGTATTGATTTTTTTTTGCTCCCAGCATTCATATCCCTCCAATTTGTTCAAGTTTTTACATCATGAGTCTTTAATTTTTCAACAGAAAAAGAGGATGATACAAATATTCTAACTTTACAAAGCCTATTTCTATCACTTGTACGTATGCTTTCTTCTCTATAGATAAGAATAGGAAAGGAGGTCATTTAGGGTATCTTGCTTATATTTACCTCACTGGGAGAAAGAAAAAATAAAAAGTATAATGAGTATTTTGGTTTATAATGTAAAATAAATCAAAATGTTTCACTGTGATCTACCTGGATACATGAAATACACTGGTTCTAGTATTAATTACATGAAATACTCTGCTTCTAGCATTAATACTATCTTGCTTACCTAGAGAGAGAGAGAGAGACAAAGCAACTGAGTCAGTATTAATAGAAACTCCAATTCTCTGAGTCTCAAATGTAAATAAGTCAATGAGAGAGTAGGCCCCCAGCTTCTGATTAAGAGCTGACTATGCTTACTTTGGAAAAATGAAAAGCTTTCCATTGATGTGTTTGCAAATACTGAGCTTTAAAACACAACTGTGGCCCTGGCTGGCTTGGCTCAGCATTTAGAGCACCAGCCGCTGGACCAAAGAGTCTCGGGTTCAGTTCCGTTCAAGGGCACATACCTAGGTTGCGGTTGGGACCCTAGCCCTAGTCTGGGTTGTGCAGGAGGCAATGTGTCTCTCTCACATTGATGTTTCTCTCTCTTTCTCCCCCCACACATCCTATCTGAAGATAAATAGAAAAATATCCTCAGTGAGGATTAAAAAACAAAACAAAACAAACAAACAAACAAACAAACAAAAAAACTTGCAGTATATTCCTAAAGGAAGAAGAAACTACCTTAACATATTGAAAGTTTAAAAGCTGTAACACCAGATAGGAAAAATGGCGGCGGAGTGAATGGAGCTACACAGACCATCTCCCAGGACCAAACTGGATTTACAACGAAAATAAAGGCAAATCGTCAGGAAGGGGCAACCGAAAGACACTTTCGAGGACCACATAACCAGGGACACCGACTCAATCCTGGTAGGCTTGCAAGGACGCGAGAGGGGGTCTGGAGCCCACGGTCCGCAGCGGCCTGGGCGGGGACCAGGGGATTCGGCAAAGTTGCTGCTGCCTCGGCTGCGACCCCGCCTGAGTCCTGCGAACTCGGCTGCCTGCTAAGCCCTCAGCTGGTGCCGCACTGACTGGCACGAACTGGCTATGACCAGGGGACTCTGCTGGAAGCTGCTGCCACCTCGGCAGCGTCCTGCTACCGTGGCTTAGTCCAGGGGCTTTTGCTGAGTGCTACGCCCTCGGCTGGTGCCACAGCCACGGCCTCCCTTGGCTGGAAGCAGCGTCCTCGGGTTAAAAGTCCCAGGAGGCTCCACGACGCAGAGTCTAGACAGAGGCAAAATTGGCAGCAGCCACTCACCTTGGGCTTGTGCAGAGGGAAGGCAGACTGGACTGGAACTGTGTGGGGACACTTAGGATTTGGAGGGTGCTAACAACTTTTGCTGAGTGCAGCCATGCAGGACTGTGGTCATCTTACTCCTTCCCAGGGCCAAGGGGAGAGGCGAGGCCCCTCCCTCAGAGATTCAACCCCACCTGGTGGCCATTGAAATGCTAACTGAGGCCCATTAACCACCAGCATCTGCACCACCCTCAGGAAATCCTCTTATACTGAGCACCTGAGGGAGTTTTTCAGGCAACTCAGAAACCAAGGGTCTTCAGGTGACCTCTACTAATAGCCTCCAGGCAAAAAAAAGCTAGAGGATAACTACCATTCCCTGTACTAGCAACACTAACCAGAAGAGCTAAGACTTGACGATGGTGTTTAAAGTGGGTCCTCCCTGCCTCATCCAAACCCAGGAGAGGGAGCCACAAACAGCCGAACACCAACACCCACAGGGAAAATTTGGCAGACTCCAAAGCCCACTGTGATAGCCAAAATGGTGAAAAACAGAAACAAAAGCCAAATGAAAGAACATGAGACCTCTACTGAAGATGAGATAAATGAGGTGCAGTTAAGCAGTTAACAGAACTAGAATTTAGAGCCTGATGTTGAGGAAGCTCAACAGCATGTGTAACGACACGAGCACCATGAGTAAAGACATAGAAATGTTGACAATCAACCAGTTGGAAATTAAAAACCAACAAGAAGAAATGAAGAATGACATATCAGAAATGAAAAACACATTGGAAGGTCTAAAAAGCAGAGTAGGGGAAGCTGAGGACCGGATCAGTAAAGTAGAAGATAGGGTAGAAAAAATCAACCAATCAACCAATCAGAAAACCAAAAGGAAAAAAACGATTGAAAAACAGGAAGACAGCTTAAGAGAACTGTGGGACAAAGCAGCAAGAGATAAGCAACAGGTTACCCCTACAAAGGAAACCCCATTAGGCTCTCAGCTGACTTCTCACAAGAAACACTACAGGCCAGAAGGGAATGGCATGAAGTAATCAAGGTCATGAAAAACAAGGATCTGAATCCAAGACTACTCTACCCGGCAAGGCTATCATTCAAAATAGAAGGTCAAATAAAGAGCTTCCCAGACAAAGCATCTGCTTTGGGAGGCTAAGGGAATACATTAGCACCAAACCAGAACTGCAAGAAATGTTAAAAGGACTGCTGTAATTAGCAGGAGAAAAAGGAAGAGAAATAGAACCACACTAAACAAAAATGGCAATAAATAAGTACATATCAATAATCACCTTAAATGTAAATGGATTGAATGCTCCCATAAAAAGACACAGAGTAGCTGATTGGGTAAGAAAACATGACTCATCTATATGTTGTTTACAAGAGACTCACCTCACAACAAAAGACTCACATAGATTGAAAGTGAAGGGATGGAAAAAAATCTTCCAAGCAAACAGAAAAGAAAAAAAAGCTGGGGTAGCAATACTCATATCTGATAAAATAGATTTCAGAATGAGGGCCATAACTAGAGACAAGAAGGCCACTATATAATATTGAAAGGATCTATCCAACAGGAAGATATAACCTTGATAAACATATATGCACCCAATATAGGAGCACCAAAATATATTCAAAAACTTCTGGAGGACTTCAAAGGAGAAATCGATAGCAATACAATCATAGCAGGGGACTTCAACACCCCGCTGACATCACTGGATAGATCCTCTAGGCAAAAAATTAGCAAGGAAACAGAGACTCTAAATGAAGCACTAGACCAAATGGATTTAATAGATATCTACACAGAATTACACCCCAAACTACAGAATTCATATTGTTCTCAAGTGCACATGGGACACTTGCAAAGATAGACCACATGTTAGGGCACAAACTAAGTCTCTACAAGTTTAAGAAGACTGAAATCATATCAAGCATCTTCTCAGATCACAATGGCATGAAACTAGAAATCAACAGCAAGAAGAACATACAAAGACATTTGAACACATGGAAGCTAATTAGCATGTTATTAAACAATGAATGGGTCACCGAGGAGATCAAGGAAGAAATCAAAAACTTCCTGGAAACCAATGAAAATGAACACATAACACAAAATCTATGGGATGCTGCGACAGCAGTTCTGAGAGGGAAGTTCATAGCCTACAGGCCTACCTCAAAAAAGAAGAAAAATCTCTAATAGATTATCTAACCTCACAACTTAAAGAACTAGAGAGCAAACAAAAAGAAAACCCCAGAGCAAGTAGAAGGAAGGAAACAGTAAAGACCAGAGCAGAAATAAGACATAGAAACCAAAAAAACAATTCAAAGGATCAATAAAACAAACAGCTGGTTTTTCGAAGATACACAAGATTGATGGACCCTTCGCTAGACTCACCAAGAAACAAAGAGAGAGAACCCAAATACACAAAATCAGAAATGAAAGAGGAGAAGTAACAACCAACACCACGGAAATACAAAAGATCGTTAACAACTACTATGAACAATTATATGGCAACAAATTTGACAATCTAAGCGAAATGGACAAATTTCTAGAAACACATAGTCTCCCAAAACTGGATCAGGAAGAGATAGAAAACTTGAACAGACCAATAAAAACAGAAGAAACTGAAGATGTAATCAAGACTCTCCCAGCAAACAAAAGCCCAGGCCCGGATGGCTTCACGGGGCAGTTCTACCAAATATTCAAAGAACTAATACCCATTCTCCTCAAACTATTTCAAAAAATTCAAGAACAAGGAAGACTTCCAAACTTGTTTTATGAAGCCAGCATAATTGTAATTCCGAAACCAGAAAAAGACACAACAAAGAAAGAAAACTACAGGCCAATACCCCTGATGAACATAGATGCCAAAATCCTGAACAAAAGACTAGCAAATCGAACCAGCACTACACCAAAAAAATTATCCATCATGACCAAGTGGGATTCATCCCAGGGATGCAAAGCTGGTACAATATTCGCAAATAAATAAATGTGATACACCACATAAATAAAATGAAGAATAAAAACCACATGATTATATCAATAGATGCTGAAAAAGCCTTTGACAAAATCCAGCATCCATTTCTGATGAAAACGCTCAGCAGTGTGGGAATAGAGGGATAATATCTCGACATAATAAAGGCCATATATGAAAGACCTACAGCCAACATCATACTCAATGGGCAAAAATTAAAAGCATTTCCCTTAAGAACAGGAACAAAGCAAGGATGCCCACTTTCGCCACTCCTATTTAACATGTACTGGAAGTCTTAGCCACAGCAATCAGACAGGAAGAAAAAATAAAAGGGATCCAAATTGGAAAGGAAGAAGTGAAATTGTCATTATTTGCAGATGACATGATACTGTACATAGAAAACCCCAAAGACTCCACCAAAAGTTTACTAGACTTAATAAATGAATTTGGCAAAGTAGCAGGATACAAAATTAATGTCAAGAAATGGATGGCATTCTTATACACCAATGATGAACTCACAGAAAAAGAAACTAAGAAAAAAAATCCCATTTACCATTGCGGCAAAAAAATTAAGATACCTAGGAATAAACTTAACCAAAGAAATAAAGTACTTATTCGCAGAAAACTACAGGTCATTGAAAAAAGAAATAGAGGAAGATATAAAAAAGTGGAAGCACATACCCTGTTCATGGATTGGGAGGATTAACATCATTAAAATGTCCAGAATACCCAGAGCAATCTATAGATTCAACGCAATCCCCATCAAAATACCAATGACATACTTCACAGAATTAAAACAATTATTTCAAAAGTTCACATGGAACCAAAAAAGGCCTCGAATAGCCACAGCAATCTTGCAAAGGAAGAACAAAGTTGGAGGGATCACAATACCAGATTTCAGGTTATATTACAAAGCCACTGTAATCAAAACAGCCTGGTACTGGCACAAGAACAGGCATATAGACAGTGGAACAGAACAGAGAACCCAGAAATGGACCCCAAGGCAATACGCTCAATTAATATTTGACAAAGGTGGCAAGAGCATACAGTGGAGTAAGGACAGCCTCTTTAATAAATGGTGCTGGGAAAATTGGACAGCTACTTGCAGCAAAATGAAACTAGACCATCAACTTACACCCTACACGAAAATAAACTCAAAATGGATAAAAGACTTAAATGTAACTCATGAATCCATAAAAATCCTAGAGGAGACTGTGGGCAACAAAATCTCAGACATCATACGCAGAATTTTTACTGATACATCACCTAAGGCAATAGAAACAAAGGAGAAAATGAACACATGGGACTACATCAAACTCAAAAGCTTCTGCACAGCGAAAGATACAATCATCAAAACGGAAAGGCTACCCACTGTATGGGAGAGCATAATTGCCAATGATATATCAGATAAGGGGTTAATTTCCAATACATATAGAGTGCTCATACAACTCCACAAATGGAAGACAAAGAACCCAATTAAAAAATGGGCAGAGGAACTAAATAGACACCTCTCCAAACAGAACATACAAATGGCTAAGAAACATATGAAGAAATGCTATCAGATAAGGGGTTAATTTCCAATAAATATAGAGTGCTCATACAACTCCACAAAAGGAAGACAAAGAACCCAATTAAAAAATGGGCAGAGGAACTAAATAGACACCTCTCCAAACAGGACATACAAATGGCTAAGAAACATATGAAGAAATGCTCATCATCACTAATCATCAGAGAGATGCAAATTAAAACAACAATGAAGTATCACCTCACACCTGTCAGAATGGCTGCCATCAACAAATCATCAAACAACAAGTGTTGGGCTAGGGTGTGGAGAAAAGGGGACTCTAGTGCACTGCTGGTGGGAATGCAGACTGGTGCAGCCACTATGGAAAACAATATGGTGTTACCTCAAAAAATTAAAAATTGCACTTCCATTTGACCCAGTGATCCCACTTCTAGGAATATACCCTAAGAAGCCTGAAACACCAATCAGAAAGAATATATGTACCCCCATGTTTGTAGCAGCACTATTTATAATAGCTAAGATCTGGAAACAGCCCAAGTGTCCATCAGTAGACAAATGGATAAAAAAGCTGTGGTACATATACACAATGGAGTACTACGCAGCTGTAAGAAAGATCTCTTATCCTTTGAGACTACATGGAGGGACCTGGAAAGTATCATCCTAAGTGAAACAAGTCAAACAGAGAAAGACAAGTTTCATATGATCTCACTTATTTGTGGAATATAATGAACATGACAGTCTGAGGAATGGGGTAGTCCCAGAGATGTGAAAGTGGGGTACAGACTGACAATCCCCTAAAGAGGGGGGTGGTAGGGGAGAGATAAACCACAGAACTTATATGCATGTATGTATGAACAGTGGACATGGACAACAAACTGGGGAAAGTGTAGGGAGCGAGGAGGAGGGGGAAAAAGGAGAAACATCTGTAACAAAAATTAATTAATTAAAAAAAAAAAAAAAAAAAAAAAAAAAAAAAAAAAAGCTGCCCTTGCCGGTTTGGCTCAGCGGTTAGAGTGTCGGCCTGCGGTCCGGAGAGACCCGGGTTCGGTTCCCGCTAAGGGCACGTACTTCGGTTGCAGTTTGTCCCCGGCCCTGGTTGGTTGTGCGGGTGGCAGCCACTCGATGTGTCCCTTCACGTCGATGTTTCTCACTCTCTCTCCCTTCCTCTCTCTCCCTCCCACTCTATCTGTACAAAAAATGGAAAAATATCCTCGGGTGAGGATAAAAAAAAAAAAAAAAAAAAAAAGCTGTAACACCAGATAATCACAACTGCTGTAATTTTTAAAGTTTATTTAAATTACCACAAAATTACTCAAAGTATACATAAGAAATAAAACTTAGAGAATATACTAAATCCAGCAAATAAAATTGTTCTCATATATCATCTGTCCTGTCAGAATTTACATGTATACACAAAATTTTACATTGTATTAGTCTAACATAATTGTAAGAAAGCCACAAAAAAACTGTATGATAGCCCTGGCCAGGTGGCTCTGTTGGTTGGAGCATCATCCTGTGCATCAAAAGGTAGAGGGTTTGAGTCCCGGTCAGGGCACATATCTACGTTGTGGGTTTGATCCCCAGTTGGGGTGCATATGAGAGGCAACTGATCGATGTTTCCCTCTCACATGAGTACTTCTCTTTCTCCCACTTCCTCTCTAATATCAATAAAAACATATCTTCAGGTGAGGATAAAAAAAAAAAGTATGGTAGGCATTTCCATTTTGATTAATTACTTTCATAATTATCACTTTTATGCACATATAATATGCATAAACTACTTCAAAACTCTTCTCTACCCTATATTTTACCATTTTATTCAAGCTTCCAGTTTTTAAAAATATGCTAATTTTGTTAACTGCACAGATAATACATTCAGTAAAGTCCTTTCCCAAAAGTTAACAAATGTGATCAAAATCACTTTCAAATGCTGAAAAATTAACACAAGCTGTTACTCTAACAAAGCTTCTCTATCTTAGGTGCCAGGAATCATCTATGGAACCCTGTGGAAAAGCCGATTCTGACCAGCAGGTCTGGGTTAGGCCTGAGAGTCTGCATTACTAAAGGTTCCCAGGTGCTGCTTGTGCTGTCGCTGGTCGAAGAACAGCACACAAGAAGCAGGATCTGAAGCAGTTACAGTTACAGACTTAACCTGTACTGCTGTTACTTGCTAACTTTTCTTTTCACACAAAAAAACTTTTAGTAAAAAACATTCTCCTAATGGTCAGTAAATGTGACATTCATATAAATTTCTAAAGTTTTAAAGACAGAGACTATTAAACATGTATGTTACTCACAAAATTATCAGAAGTAGCAGGTTTAGCTGTTCCATTGGAAACTGTTTTTGAAGTTCTTAATTTTATTCCTTCAGCTGTAATGAGAAACATTACAGAGATAAATATATAAAATAATAAAATATTTTCCTTCATAGCCTCATATTTAATAACCCAATAAGAAATAATATGTTTTTTTGTATTCATTCATTCATTCATTCATTGTTTTTGGTTAATTCTACCCAAGAATATTTTTCCACTGATTTTTAGATAGAGTGGAAGGACGGAGGGAGGGAGAGAAAGAGAAACATTGATGTGAGACACACACCTTGATTGGTTGCCTGACACATGACCTCGACAGGGGCCGGGGATCGAACCTGCAAGCCAGGTATGTGCCCGACAGGGAATCTAACCCATAACCCTTCAGTCTGTGGGCCAGTGCTCTAACTGCTGAGCCAAACCAGGGCATATATATATATATATATATATATTTTTTTTTAAAGAGTTAATAGTATTTCTATTTGGTCTTCTTCCTTCTCCTCCTCCTCTTCCCTTTTTTTTAAAAAGTTCTCTCTCTCCTGAAATTTACCTTGTCTTCATGAATCCATTCCTGTAGATTCTCTAATACATTTGTAATAATTATTTTTAGTCTTTCTTGCCAAGTGTAATATCTGTGCCATCTCTAGATGTCTATTGATCGATCATTTCATTAACTACGGTCACAGTTCCCAGTTTCATTCCACATCTAGTAATTTATCATTGCATAATGGATGCTAACAATGTATCATACAGACTCTGGTTTCTCTCATCTTCCTTTGGGAAGTGTTACATTGTATTCCAGCACACATACAAATTATTGATTAGAGTAGTACAGTAAATTAATAAAATGATAAAATGCTATGTAGAAATTAATAGAAAGATGAAATTAGTACTAGAATCATAATCATAATCAGAAATGCTTTGGGCATGACCAGGAGAATACAGACGAGCCTAATTTTAAAGAGTAGGAGGAGGTGACTCAAAGAAAGTGAGTATTCACCAAGAAGATGAAAATACACCAAATCATTCTTGTGAAAAGCAGCATACCTTCCTCAATACTTAGAGCAAATCAGTAACAAAAGCTCAAACTATAGTAATAATCTTGAAAATTTCATTACTGCCCTGGCCGGTTTGGCTCAGCAGTAGAGCGTCGGCCTGGGGTCCCGAGAGACCTGGGTTCAGTTCCCGCTAAGGGCATGTACCTCGGTTGCAGTTTGTCCCTGGCCCTGGTTGGGTCGTGCGGGTGGCAGCCACTCAATGTCTTCCTTTCATGTCGATGTTTCTCTCTCTTCCTCTCCCTCCCTCCCACTCTATCTGAACAAAAAATGGAAAAATGTCCTCGGGTGAGGATAAAAAAAAGAAAATTTCATTACTGACTTCTTATAAGTATCTAGCATAACAGAGGTTTCTATAGATAGTTTAAAAAATATTTTATAGTGCCCTGGCCGGTTTGGCTCAGCGGTTAGAGCGTCAGCCTGCGGTCCTGAGAGACCCGGGTTCGGTTCCTGCTAAGGGCGCGTACCTCGGTTGCAGTTTGTCCCTGGCCCTGGTCGGTTGTGCGGGTGGCAGATGTTTCTCTCTCTCTCTCTGTTCCTCTCTCTCCCTCCCACTCTACTTGAACAAAAAATGGAAAAATGTCCTCGGGTAAGGATAAAAAATAAATAAATAAATAAAATAAAAAAATAAAAAATATTTTATAGGAGAAAAAAAAAGTATCTGACCTTGCATCACAGGTAAAGGTACAAAAAATACTTTCTTCTTACAATATATACAATAGTCATTATATAAGAAAACTTATCACTTACTTAAATGATCAGATGTTACCATGAATTCTTCAACCTCATCATCAGAATCATCTATTAAGGGCATGAAGGCATACCTATGTCAAAAACAGGAAGCTTTACTACCAGTGTGTTTAAGCCTGTTCAATTCTCAGCTTAGAGCTAAAAGAGTAATTGCATACAAAAATAGCTACAAGTTTTAAAGGTTCTCATAAATTAAAATAATAATTTCATTATTTTACTCTCAAATTAGAAAGGTTATTATTGTGAAGAAATTGTGAACCTGAGCCCCCTGCTGGTAAGAGCAGAAATGAGTGAGATCTGTCTGGAGAGCAGTTCTGCAACATGTCATGTTCAGGGAGGAGACAGCCTGCTGACTCTTCCCCATGCCAGGTCTCCCTCCTTGCGCACATCTTTTAATTTATGCCCTAACAAAAGAGAAATTGCTAATCTGACTGGTGAAAATAAAGCATGCTACTGAGCCACATTTACTAGGTCCAAGAGCATTCAGAAAACGTTGCCGATAATAGCAAAAAACCTAGAAACAAAGTGTCTAATATTCAGGGATTGCTTACATAAATTATGCTACATTCGTAATATAAAATGCCATATAGCCATTAAAGCAATGTAGTAGTTCTACACTGTGCACTGTGTAATTTTAAAAAGAGAGAAACACATACACTTGTATATACTTGTACACTTTTTCCTCACAGTGCTTTTCTTGGGGAAGAGGGATGAAGCAAGGGAAGGCAGGGCTCCCCATCACATGTGGTCTAAAGCACAACCTTCTGAACTTAGCATTCAAGCTCTTTACCTCTCTCCAGTGTAAGTAGCATGAACCAATCTGCATGCCTTGATGATCCACAAAGCATTCCTGGTTTCCCCTCTACCCTGGAAATGTACACTCTTTCCCAGCTCAGCCTTTCACTGCCCTGGCTCCTTTCCTTAAGGAAAACATAAATGGATCTTCCTCACCCTCTCCACTGGCCCCTGGTCACTTGACTAATTTCACTGTCTTGCATCTGTGATGTGTGTCTCCCTACCTGACTGTTTTCTCCTGAAAAGCATGGACTACTTCCCCAGTCTCTATAGACGTGTTAACCCTGTAGCAGGTGATCAACGAGTGCTTGCCAAACTTGGATTTTCCTGTGTTAGGTACCTTTGATTATTTGCTGATGGTCTCCACAAAAACATTATTACCATAAGGATAACTGAAAAAAGGAAGCTCCAAAATGCTTCATCAACCCAGGTTTCCATCCAATCCTATAATAAGGACAATTCAAACATGAAAAGTTATTTTTTTGATAAATATAAACATAGGTTTCCAATTCAAATAGTATACAATGATAAGTCCTAATGAAATCTTTTCAACCAGTTAAGTTTTCCAAATAAACAAGTATACAGTTTTTAAAGAAATGCTACCTTTACAAAATCAACATTAATGCTTACTTCAGCTTTATGACCAATCAGATGAATAAAATCCTAACATAAATTATATTGTACAGTATCATAAAAATAATTAGTTTAGCCTGGCTGGTGTGTCTCAGTGGTTGAACAGACTTGTGTATCAAGAGGTCACAGTTCGATTCCCAGTCAGGGCACATGCCTGGGTTTCCAGCAAGATCCCCAGCAGGGGGCGTGCAGAAGGCAGCCCATCAATGTTGAGGTTTCCCTCTCATTGATGTTTCTATCTCTCTCTGCCTTCTTTCCCTTCCTCTCTCCAAAATCAATGAAAACATATTTAAAAAGAATTTGTTTAAAGGTACTTCAGAGAGTACATAATGTATTTTCTATATGAGAACAGACATGAAGCAAGTTAACAGCAGAATTAGAATCAAGTTGACAATGGGTACAGTAGTAGTTCCCTCTTATCCAGGGTTTTGCTTTCCGTGGTTTTCGTTACCCAGTCCTAAAATACTAAATGGCAGAAATAAACAATCCAAAATCAATTCTGAGACAGACAGGCCATGTTCACATAACCTTTACTATCATATGTTATTATAACTGTTCTATTTTATTAATTATTTTTGTTAATCTCTTACTGTGCCTAATTTATAAACTAAACTTTATCACAGGTACATATGTATAGGAGAAAACATAGTACACTGTACATACAGGGTTTGGTACTACCCACAGTTTCAGGTGTGCACTGAAGGTCGTGCTGCTGTATTTTTGACATTAGAATCTCTGATGCAAAAATCTCAATGCTGTATTTCTCCTAATAGGTTGTTCTGCTTTTAGTGAGACAGATTTTATTATATGTTGTTTGAAATGTTTCTAAAGGGCTGTTTATCAGTATAAAGATTCCCTTCCATAAAATTTTAGGGTTAACAGAAAGATTTGGAAAACAGAAGTAAAAATCCAAAAGATATCCTTAGAAACCAGGTGAAAAATACTTAGGTGAGGGAAGGAAAGAAAAGAAATTCCAGAAAGTCAGTCTCTTAACTCATCCCTAAGGCAGCAGAAGTCCACGGTCCAGGACTGTCAGAGGGCTGTTTATAACTGTTCATTCAAAACTAGAGACAAGTTCCGAAGCATGACACCCCAAAAGAGGGCCTTTTAGAGTTTCAGTCTAAAAAACTCTAAACTTCTAACTCGAGAACCCATGGTGAGCATCTTCTGATTGTGGATAGTGGGTGTGCCACCCAAGAAACATGTCCGACTTAAGGTTTACAATCCCACTAGATACAGAATAGCCATGTTCATGGTATGCAGGAAGAAAAGAATCTCCTGCTACCTTAAATTATATAGGAGAGAATTATTTTTCAAAATCTGCAAAAGGAAGTTGAAATAAAGGGCATAACCAGAAAAGCAGATTTAGGAGAAACTTTTTCAGATTCATTAAAGGAGGTAAAAGTTCTTATAATACTACATAAAATAATCCAAGGTAAACAGAAAATCTAGAATTACCTTGATTTACAAATTAAATTCTTCAAAATTACACAAAATAGTATAATTAAAAATGGTAACTATTTTAAATAGATTATACTCACTGATCGACATTTTGCAAATCTAAATGTCTTAGTTGTCCACGCCACAAACACAACAGAAGCTGAAACACACCAAAAAAGTCACCTTTGAAGGAAATGTGATCCTGAAATAATTTACTGTAATAAGGAAGGTTCATTACTTACCCAGCACAGCAAAGATCAGAGTATTTGTAAAGTGTCTATATAAAGAAAATTTCACCATGTTCTTTCTTAGCCTCAGAGTCTTCATAGTTTGTGCCAAACTTATAAAAATGTGAAAAAGTTAAGGAAAACATTTTAAATAGTAATAAACAATTAAAATAAAAATGAGAATCTTCTACAATTTCCAAAACTGGTACTGCTAAATATAGTTCCATGAACTTAAAGGTCTAATAGAAACACGGAAAATGTAATTTTAGCCAGTACTGGGTAATCATGATACTGATTTATTGCAGACTTTGCTTTACAATCTACTGCTGTGTAATCTAAATGGAATTGGAGGAAAACACACAAGCAAGAAGCCCCACAATGTGCTCTTCACTGCTGAGCTCCCAAACCAGAGAGAGAACAGCACACGACCTGCCAGCCCCAGGCCAGACACTCTGCAGGTCCCACTGTGAGATCCCACTTGGCTTGTGCTTTTCAATTTCTTTCTTATTTTGTTTTTCTTTTTTTTTTCCTGTAGTCTATTTTCTGACCATAATTAAGGAATTAAATCATCTATCAGTTCCATTTTATCCATTAAAAACTGAAATATGTCAAATAAAACAAATCTGGACTTAGGTAAGAACAGACTTCATTCAAAAGATGATTGCAAAAGGGAGAAAGCTCCAACTGTAAGATTTTTAGAAGTCCCAATAGTCACACAGGAAAGGGGCTTTTACAGAGAGAAGGAAACAGGACTAGAAAGCTCAGGTGTGGGGAGTGGGTGGCATGACAGGACAGTCAATCAGGGAATGACTTTCCTGTGGTCTGCAGATTCCCAGGAGGAGCCTGGGCGGAGGAAAGCTCAGTAACCTGGGGGAAGGAGACAACTTAGTATGGTCCAGATCAGTCAGGAGGGACCTAGGTCTGAGTCTGGCCTTATCACAGGTAAACTGTGGGGGTGTGGGGAGTCTCATCTAAGTCCTACAAAAGAAGGGGTTCTCTGTAGTAAGCCTTCCCCAGAAGGCTAGAGGGTGGACAGGTAAACTGCGGGGGCGTGGGGAGTCTCATCTAAGTCCTACAGAAGAAGGGGTTCTCTGTAGTAAGTCTTCCCCAGAAGGCTAGAGGGTGGGCTTTCCTCCCCACAGTGGCTCACCAGGAGCACAGGCTTCACTGAAGTCCAACACTGTCAGGTATGAAGTACAGAAGGGCCTTCTCACAGGCCCCGCAGCAGCTAGGCTGAGATGCAGCCAGAGCTCTGTCTAGAAATGGGGGTTGCTCCTTTCGGAGCACAGCATCAGCACACGGAAATGACAGAGCTGAGCAAAAGAATGCAGCTGGAGCCCAGGCCTGCCTGGCTCAGTGGTTGGAGCTTTGGCCCACGCATCAAGGGTCTCGGGTTTGATTCCCAGTCAAAGGCACATATTCTGATAGCAGGTTAGATCCCCGGCCCTGGTCAGGGAACATGCAGGCGGCAACCAATGGATATGTCTCTCACATCAATTTATCTCTCTTTCCAGCTCCCCCCTCCCTTCTACTCTCTAAAAATCAATGGAAAAAATATCCTTGGGTGAGGATTAACAACACACAAAAAAAGGATACAAGTGGAAAGTTTTCTATTTATGCTCCTATTTTAAATATCGATTACTTACTAATCAAAAACTTTTTAGCAGCTAAAAATACCAAAACTAATTTTTAATTTTTCTAAATGAGCAAAAAGTTGCAAAAGATCAATGTCTAAAATGACACTATCCAACCAATTAAGGCTACTATCAGAATTTACAAAAATTCAATATGCTGCATTCCTTGAACATTACCAAGACAAATACTTTTAGAAATTCTTGATTAAAACCAATTTTCTATGTTAAAAACCTGGTGTCATTTAATTATTCAAGAGTGTTTTTTAAAAGCCAAGGATTAAAAAGATCAACAGCAAGCTCGAACTGCCTAAGCCTGCACTTATACTGCTAATGCAGGGAAAGCATACATCGTTTCTTACATTACAGGCAAGTGTTAGGAAGGCGGACGGCCCACCATCCTGGGTGAGTCCACAGGACCCCGCTGCCGCAGGAAAGGATATCCACCAGCACAAGCCAGAATCAAGAAGAGACAGAGGGAGGCTGGCCAGAAGCACAAAGTCAGAGTCATTGGCCTGCAGCAAAACAGCAAAAAAATAAAATAAGCAGGAAAAACAGGAGTGGGATTCATGAGAAAGGTTGTGGCTTTGACTTTTTTAGGCTATTTCTACTACGTTAGGATTAGATTTGTACAGTATTAGCTGCAATGAGTTCACCAAAAGCAAAGGAAGCTAGGTCCTTATGCGAGCACTCAGTTCTCCAGGCAGTCCTGCTTCTTTGCTCTCATCTGTATCATTTAGGAAACCCACTTTCTTTTTGTACATTTCACTTCAGTAATAAAAATTACTACACAGCAATCTAAAAGCAAGCACCAGGGGTTCAGGTTCAAGCAGAAATGGATACTAAATTTCCTTCTCTCAACATGAAACACTAACCAAAAAGGTTTTTTATTTCTGGATTTCTTCATGACATCTGTCTCAAACATCTTTATTAAAAATATTAACAACTCGCCCTGGCCAGTTTGGCTCAGCAGTTAGAGCGTCAGCCTGCGGTCCAGAGAGACCCGGGTTCGGTTGCCACTAAGGACACATACTTCGGTTGCAGTTTGTCCCCGGCCCTGGTTGGGTCGTATGGGTAGCAACCACTTGATGTGTCCGTTTCACGTCAATGCTTCTCTCTCTCTCCCTCCCTCCCACTCCATTTGAACAAAAAATGAAAAAATGCCCTCGGGTGAGGATAAAAAAAAAAAATTAACAACTAATATGGTACCTTACTAATCTTTCACGTTGTTTTCCTTATCCCTCCACCCCAATATGGCTCCTTCTGTGTTGGAACAGACAACAGCCAATGGCGTCCTTAAAGGTGAGAGGTTACTCTCATTCAAATCCAGATGGAATTAGAGCATTCAGAGCTGCAGGTCTGCCTCTCCCCACTACAGATGCTCACACTGCCTGCCCCTCTCCTAGGGCAGGTGAGCGGCCCCTGCAGCGGTGCACCTGCCAGAACAGGACCTGCAGCCCTTAGCTGAAACACAGTTCACATGCAGAAGAACTGAGGAATGTACTTCACCTTTTTAACAACCAAACATCTTCAAATCTGTTTTGATGCAGAGAATATGAAAATTACAAGTAAGATGTTTATACCACTGTCAGAGAGGATAGATTTATTCCATTATAACTTATTCAATAAATTTGGATTCCAAACTAGTAGTTCCAGACAGAAGTAGAATACTATTTTCCATCAAGTTCAGTCAGAAACAACTCCACTCCTTAAATCTCAAGTATTATTTCTTAACTGGACACCCCTTAGACACTAGGGGATCCATGAATGTAACTTGAAAGTTTTGAGGCCCCCACTGTGGGCAACACCTGTGTGGGTGGGGAGCACTCTCTAATTGGTGCAGAGAGGCTCTGGGCCTCATGACTTTCAAAGGCATCTGGTTTCAGTACTCAAGCAAGACTGAGGACCATAGAAAATAAGGAGAATACATTTAAAGGTTTGGTTTTGTTATAACTTGGAAGCAAATTGGGAATTCACAAAGGGAGGTTGAAGAACAGGCCTAGAAGAAACCTCACCGAGGGACTGAGAAGAGCCTCAGTGCCACGTCCGCTTCCTGTGCAGAAGGGACACAGGCAGAGGGACACAGGCAGAGGGACACAGGCAGAGGGACACAGGCAGTCAAGCCCTCCAGCCCTTCCTGGGAGGTGGAGATGAGAAAATGAAGAGAAATACAGGGAAACAAAAGTACATTTAATGTTAAAAGCTAAAATACAAGTATCAAAGACAATGGAAATAAACAAAAAACCTTGGTAAAAATAGAACGTATCTATGGGAAAGAATTTCAGAGAGAACAATTGCAGAAGAAAGAACTGGAACACTGTTCTGGGATCTGCAGAACCCTACCTTCTGCTCTGACCAGGCCACAGTTTCTCTAGAATTCCTCGACTTCTGTGAATGATGTTCAATGCCCCACCAGACAGGAAAACATACTGAGGATTCCCAGACTCAAATGAGTCCTGAATCAGTGAGGGGCGTCCTCAAGGATCAACCCCCACTGCCCTAAAACTTCGCTGTACTACATCTCCTGCCCCCACCATTGCCAAACCTGCTCTCCTGCTGTCCCACTGTGCCCTCTGCACGACAGAAAACAGTGTGCCTTGGAAAGTCCTCTCTGCAGCACTGGCCACTGTTGACCACCTTCCTTACTGAAGCTCCCTAATTCTTCACTCCGTAACAATTTCTGGTTCTCCCACCTCCCCCTTCACCCCCGGTGCTCCTTCCAAGCACGATCTGCCCACCAGCCCATCCTGGCTCCTCTCCTCTCGCTGGTGTGTGTTCTCCTGGGGCCACTTCCACGGCTGCGACCTTCTCCTGTAAAAAGATGATCTCCAACCTTCACCACCAGTTCTGTCTCTTCTTACAAACCCAGGCTGAGATTTCAAACTCTCTTCCTTCCCCATACTAATTCCTTAGCAGCTCAAACCTCATCCATCACGGTCTCTTCTCCAAGGTTACCGCCTTGAGAATGGCAATTCTGCCCAGCCACCCAAATAAGACTTGTGGGACTTCTCTGGAGACTTCTCCTCCTTCTTCTGCCACCGTTTCTAGCAAGTCTATCACGTGGAGTTTTTTCTTTATTTCCTCTGCACTATTTTTACACCTCACCATCTCTTCCTTAGACCACTGCAAATGACTTCTTACTAGACTTCCTGTCTCCAGTCTCTCATTTTCCAAGTCATCTTTTTATGTCATCCTTGTGACCTTTCCAACACAGATTTCCTATTTTTCACCCAGTCAGCTTCAATTTCCTCTACTTTCTACCTTCTGGAGGAACTCTGAACGCTTGAGCGTGTCATTCTATCCTTCCCTCTCCCACCTTCCGTGGCGCTCCCACACACGTTCCCCTACAGGCAGCTCCTCTGGGACACTGCCACTGGCCCTGTACTTCATGCTTCCAACTCTGTGTTCCCTTCCGTTCTTCCCACAGTGTCTCTTCCCTGATCTTGATTCTCTTCCTTCTAAATCTTAGTCTCAATTTAAATGTCACCATCTCTATAAAGTCTTTCCTGATTTCAAGCAAGAGTTACCTTCTCTTTCCTCTGCATGGCACCTCTCTACATGGCAACAACTATTGCTATATCCCTCGGAGTTACGTTGTTTGTCTCCCCTACCAGACCATGGATTCCTTAAACGCAAAGACAATACATTTTTCTTCCATGCCTCCTCAGTACAGGGCTTATAGTAATTACTTAGTTTGCTGAACTAAATAGAAAAAAACAAAGATATTCCTTGTTTGAGGAGTATTTACTTTTTCACCTTCCACCAAATTCCTATGTTGAGGTAACAATAATGTAAAATTGTATTTATTTCTATTACTACCAGTTAAAAGCAATATGATTTTAATGCTATAATAAACAACTTTAGAAAGACATAGTAAAGGATATGAACCATACAAAAATGGAGTTGAAAACTGCTAAAATAATCTCATCAAAAACAACAGCTAAATGGTTAGAACCCTGAAAGATAAAAGTGGGAAAAAACTCTGAAAGTAAAAGTTTCATTATAGTACAGGAATTATCTGATGAAGAAAAACAATTTAGTTCACAGTATCACTTTACTAAGGCCACATCAAAGATTTTACTTCCTATCAGAACCGTCTTTAAGCACATGGAAATGATGTTTTGTCGACTGCTCGTCTGAAGACAAGGTCCACTGAACTATGGAATGGCAAATAACAGGCACCACCCCCCTGCCCTCCCAGGGCAACTGTGTTAACCTCCCCTCTCCACACCCAACCTACAGCCACAGCTACAGTGAAACGGACCCTTGTCTTTCCTACTGCATGCAAAAGACGTGGAAAAGTAAAATCAGGATAAGGAACTGAGTAGAGGGAAAACAAACCGTAGATTAGCCACTTACTCTAATCAAGAACTGGCAGAGAAGTGTATGTGAAACATGTTATCTACAATGCTGACTATGCAAATTTGAAGGAAATATAATGTATATACCCTACATGTGGACTATTTCTCATTTGTTTTTTCTGTAGAGATTAGTTTCCTGTGAAGGATATAAAAATGCAGAGTTCTTCATTATTATGTAAAGGTAAAAATAAATACCCCTTTCAAGAGTCAAAGATGAAAACAGCAGGTGTACCTAACACAGAATGCAGATGTATCAAGACACCAGGAAGAAGAATGAGGCTTTTTAACATTATGCAATGGGAAATATAAAGTCCTGCTTTAAGGGTCAGAGCAAACATGTGACATGAATTCAGGCAATGTACAGATGAACAGCTCTGTGCAGTAACTCAACTTCTCCACCTAAGCCGAGATATTGTAGGCAAAAATCACAAGGTTCTTTAAATCAAGTAAAAAATAGTAAGTTTCTTAATCACTCAGTCATCAGTCATATTATTAAGAAAAACTGAGAGCTAAAAATCTAAGGTTTTTCACAGGCATAAATATTCTGACTCTTCCTTAGAGAGGAAAGTGTTGCTGCATCCCAGTCATTCCTCTTGAACACTAGCTGCTCCTATTTTTTCAAGGAGTGGGCTCTGCTGAATCCCCAAATCCTGCATCTGCTGAGTTAGAGAAAACTTACAACCAAATGTGGCTTAAGAGTGAGATATGTCTCCACGTGTAAAGGGGACAATTGACTTTCTCCGAACTTGATACATGTTTAAGCCAAACTGTAAGGAAGAAATGAGTGCGTACAGACTGGACAGTGACAGAGACAAATGTTCTTCCTAAGGAATAACTATAAACATCTTTGAGATCCAGCCAGTTCCTGGACTGACAGCAAGTGCTGCCACTTACTCTAATCAACCACAGTCAACCACATCATTTCTGGAAGCACTCTGCCTTGCCTTTTACTTTCAGGAATTATTAAAAAGGGAAATATTCCATAGGAAATAAAGCTCAAATTGGGCCTTTTCATAAATTTCCAACCTTTAAAAATTCATCTCAGGAGATATGAAGTCCTAGGAACAACAAAAGGGGTGGTAGTGAAGTATGCAGTTTTTACCCCAATGATTCTCATCACGCCTTCGACGGCTGCGAAGATAAAGTAGAGAAGCCCCAATCCGATCACCCGGTGCATGACTGTCCCTAAGCGAGGCCTGGAACGGGGAAAAGAAAATGGAAAAAAAGGAAAAAAAAAAAAGCACAGGTAAGTCAGATGCATCTACATAGTCAATGGCCTCATTTCAATACCAGAGAAGTGACCCCAATAGGCTCAGAAAACAGGCCCCTTTCTCTGGCACTGGAAGCAGCAGAGGGTTTTGCAGCTGAGGTACTGGCACACGATCCGCATCATCACACCGCCCGGGTACGATTTCACAGAAGGGAAGAGCAGACTGAAGAAACCCAGGAAGCTAAAGGCCAACTCCTGAGTGTCACTGGCAGAAATAATAATTTAACTTTTACTAACATTAATGAAAAACTGTCTGGGATATGTTTTGTTAGAGATAATCTGCTGATTTATAACTTGGGCAGAAAAAGGGCAGGATATTAGGAGATCAAATTCCATTACCTTCGTTTTCTCAATTCCTGAAACCAGAATGCTAAGACTTTAGTTTCCATTTTTTAAATTCAAAAGAGTTCAAAAGACTCAACAATTTTAGTCTTTCAAAATACAAATAAGTTGGGAAAATGCAAAGATAGTGATATCTGCAATTAATAATGTGAAAATAGAACTGAAATTTCATGACATTTACAAGTCAGAATTTATTGTACATACACTTTAGCTCAAAAACCCTTGTCTCAGAGTTAATTAGAAGAAAAAATGGTTTTGAAAAAACACGATTGTCATTTTAAAACAAAATCTAAGTAAAAATTGAACTAATATCCATAGCTCATATTTATGACGTTATCTAATCTAGTTAATCTGAACTCTGACTCATTAAGGCGAGTTAACTGGAACCCTTCCACAGCCAGAAGTGTCACTGTCCTCGCTCTGTGAGCTGCCACAACAGACTGACAGTGAGCGGTATGCTCTCAAATGGCTGTGCCCTGCACACCAGCTCACTCTTCCGTCCCCTTGCAGCAACACACCCCACACTGAAGCACCTGGTGGTCATAACTAGAACCAGGAACACACGAAATGCCACCAAAGGGCTCTGTATATTGTATCAAGCCCTCAACCCCAAAGCAAAGCATCTGAGAAGGAATCTCAACAAAAGTCCAATGAAAAGAAGTTCTCCTTGCTAAAATCTTGCTAAGTATACCAACCCTGAGCTCACATGCATGTATGTGTGCATCAGTGCTCTTTACTGTGCCAAGGCGGGCACTGGGGCCTTAGGGTACACAGGACACAAAACAGGCAAAACTCCTACTCCACTCTGGGGGAGACAACGATGCTAACGCATGCATCGAGTGGCCTTGTAGAGAGGATGCGGCTCTGTGTCAAAGGGTGAGTGCCATGTACCACGTTAGGAATTCTGGCAGGGCTAGCTTCCTGGGGAGATGACAGAGGAGCGAGACTGAGAGAAAGGAGGGGGCACACCATGCCCGGGTCTGGGGAAGAGGCCTCCACTGCAAGGACGTGTGTTGCGTGTAAGGAATAGCAATAGCAAGCCAGCCAGGAAGGAGCAGTGTTTAAAAGGGAGAAGGCAGGAGAGGAGGCCAGCCATCAGAAAGCCACTTTGGGTTTTATTGGGTAAAATGAAGAGAAGAGTAATGAGATCTGAGTTAAATTTTAAGAGGATCACCTTAGCTGCTGCTGTCTGAACAGACTGACAGGTGACCAGGGCAGAGGCAGGGGAACCAGGCAAAGGGCCCAGGGATTTGCAAGGATGTCAGTACCCTGCAGGATCTGGAATGCACGCTGAAGGAAGAGGTGAGCATGTGAGAGGGGAGGGCTAGGGAAGGTGAGGGTCAAAAGGCCAGAGGCCTAACCAGGGTCAAAGGGTGACTGGAGCTGACATATCAGAGAAAGGGAACAGGAAAGAGGCAGTGACAGCTGAAAAGCAGATTGCTTAAAACTGTGATGATGAAGAGGGCACAGCTGCACAGAGTCAGAAAGTCTAGAAAATGTCCTTGAATCCCTGCTGAGGCAAGAAGGGCAAGACAACAGAGGTGAGATCAGGTTACTTAAAGGATCAGCTGCAGGAATCCTGAACACACGGGATTCTGGTGGAGAAGGGAAGCAAGTGCTCAGAGAGTGAAGGGAGGAGGGGAGAAACTGGACGGTGACAGGGGCCACAGGAGATGGAGCAGGCAGTCTAGCCTGAAGGCCTGAGCTCTGGGAGTCAGAGGGGTTTAGGGAATAAGGAATAAAGGTCTGATGAGGATAAAGAGGAGACGATCCTTCACATTCAGGCCCCATGACTCATAAGGATGTTTGAAAGGGTTGGGGAGAAGTTCGTGCTGAGGGGACAAGATTTCAGACAGGAATCTTGCTGACTTGGTGGTATGACCCTCCTTCTCTTATAATAACCAAATAGTCATAAAAGCAAAATTATGGTGTTTAGAAAACAAAATGGTTTGAACTTCAAGGGTCATTTAAAAATTTCTGTATCATTAAGGCAGATTATTCATCGAACTATAAAAAGCTACTAGAATACCAATTCAGGACCTTGATTTGAGGACCATATCAAATAGTCAGTGCATGGACATCCCTTAGGAACACATTCTCACAGATACTTCCCTATGGGGTTTGTATAATGATAGTGAGAAATGTCCAGCCTCACAGAGGTCACAGTGAAGACGGACGGTCGAAGGACTAAAGATGCTGCGACTTCCCAGCACAGCAGGACTTACTTCACAATGCCATATCCCAGGCTCATGATGATGACCAGAAGGCGGGCCAGTGTCCTTTTAATCGCAGATATCAACTCCGCAAATATCAACAAACTTTGGGCTGAGGAAAAGAAAGAAATCAGCTCACTGTGTGTACATCTTGCAGCCGCCTGCCACCAATTCTAAACATGTACCATGTACATCATCTGACCTCAGGTGGATTAGCCATATTTGATTTCAAAGGCATCTAATCCAACTGATGTTAAAAACCTCAGTGAATGGGGATTCATGACCTGCTAAAGAATTCACTCCATATGCCATCGGCTCTGTTGGGCACAGCTTTCTTGTATCAGCATGAAATCTGCTTACCTGAATTTCCCTCCATGGTCAATCTTTCCCCATGTCCTATAAACATCTAAAACCCACAATGTTCCCTAGAGTCTTTTGTCAGGATGCCTTTATCATTCATTCATTTGTGCTCCTGCTGTGTGGCAGTAGTAGAGCACCACGTCCCTCCTCGTGGAGCCTGTCCTCTGGTTAGGACAAGTCAACAGGTGAAACCCAGCCTGCTAAGTGACAGAGGCAACACAGTCTCTCCCTTGATTGAGAAGCCCACCCAATCCACATGTGGGGAGAGACGTGGGTCCAGATAGGTTTCTCAGAGGAAGTGACATCTAAATCAGGATCTGAAGGTGAAGCAAAGTGGACTACCTGGGGGAAGAGACAGGGGAAAGCAAAAGAAATGCAGGCAGAGAGGAGACAAGAAAAGCAAAATGGGCTCCAAGAAGTGAAATCCAGCATGTCTGCAGCAGAGCGTCAGGAGGGGGCCAAGGAAAGAGGCTGGGACAGAGGAGGAATAATCACATAGGGTTGTAGGCCATGTTTTGAGTCTGGACTTGAAGCTAAGGGCAGTGGGTAGTCAGACAGTAAACAAGGAAGTAAAAGAGAAACCAGTCAACTATAGCCCATGGGCCAAATCTGCCCCTAGGCTTGTTTTTGTAAATAAAGTTTTATTGGAACACAGCCACGCCCACTTGTTTGTGGCTGCTTCCCTGTTAAAGGGTAGAGTTGAGTATCTGCAACAGAGATTGTACAGCCTGCAAACCCTCAGCTATTTACTATCTGGCAGAAAGAGTCTGCTGACTCTTGAAGTAGAATGGACAGATTTATTTTACTTTATTGTTGTTGTTAATCCTTACCCAAGAATATTTTTCCATTGATTTTTATTATTATTATTATTTTTTATTTATTTATTTTTATTCCCACCTGAAGACATTTTTGCATATATCTTCAGATAGAGCAGGAGGGAGAGAGGGAAGAAGAGAGAGAGAGAAACACTGACGTGAGAGAGACACATTGAGTGGTCGCCACCCACACAACCCCAACTGGGGCTGGGGACAAATTGCAAACAAGGTATGTGCCCTTAGCAGGAACTGAACCTGGGACTCTCTGGTCCGTGGGTCGACACTCTAATCGCTAAACCAAACCAGCCAGGGCGCCATTGATTTTTGGATACAGTGGAAGAGAGGAAGGGAGGGAGAGAGAGAAAAACATCGATGTGAGAAAGACACATCAATTGGTTGCCTGTCACATGACCCTGACTGGGGCCTGGTATCTAACCTGCAACCTAGGTACTTGTCATTGACCGGGAATCAAAACTGAAACCCTTCGGTCTACCGCTGAGCCAAACCGACCAGGGCTTTATTTGACTTTTCAGTACAGGACTGTTCCACTTAGTGGCTGGGACAGGACCTGGACTACAGGTGAGGAAATGCTTGGGGGCTATTCCAGAAATCTAGAAGAGATGAGAGTGCTGGCAAGAGACATGGAGAGAATTAGAAAGTATTCAGAAACCAGGTGTGAATCCACCGCATTATTCTTGTTTTAGCTCCTTTCTCTACCTTGTCCACAAGAAATCACAAGAGAACTGTCAAGTACCTTGAATAGGTAGAGAGACGCAGTTCGCTATGTTTCCCCCTGACTAATCTAGAAGCACAACAGAAGGAAGTCAACCTGATATGACCTATTCTTAATGTGCCCATCTTGGGCTTTAACAATCACTGCTCCCACCCCTCTAACATCTCTCCTTCCAGGATCAATGCTGAGCAAGACAGCCTAGGTGACAGAATTCCCACCTAAGAAAATCACACATCAGCCCCTGCCCAGTCTCCTGGTACCTCTCCTCTTCCACAGGACTCCTTGGACACTGACATCAGTCTGGGCTCTGTCTCCCAAGCCCTGCTGGTGTCATCCCAGATAGAGTGTTTGAAGCCCCTGAGGACAGCAGATGGATCACAGGTTCTGGCTGCCGGAGTCCACAGCACCTCTGACCCTCTCAGATAAGAGATGACCGCCTCTGAAAGCAAAGGGACTGAACCGCCTCCTCCAACATTTGAGAACACGCCAATCCCAGCCATCAGCAACAGCCTCAGCCTTCCTTCCTTATTTGGTCAGAGCACAAACACAATGTCACTAAAACTCCTTATAGAGTAATAACACCTCTCACGTGCCTCCCTGGATTCTTGTCCTTTCTTTATTCTTCTGTACGAGTCCTTTTAAACTTTTTATTTGGGGAAAGGACCAGCATTCCCCAGCACGAAGAAGGCAGTAAATGAAATTCCATGAACTATACTCAGCTTGGGTAATTACCAGCATTATGCCAAGTCTGTTTCATCTATATTCCAACTCAGTCTTTTCCCCCTGAAGTATTTTAAATAAACAGCAGACACAAGCTCCCCCCTGGACAATCTGAGCCAAGCTCATTGTAAATAACCCCTCAGAAGCATGTTCCTGAGTGCGTTCAGCCCTCCTGGGCTCTCTCCCTTCTGAAGTTCAGCAACTGATATCTACCTTCTTTGGCTTCTTGACATCTACCTTCTAGAAGTGTGGGCGCACACTGCGGATACCCAACCCCACACCCCCCTGCTTTGCACATAAACTTCTCATGAAGACGTCTGCATGAGAGAAGAGGTGGGGCAATGCAAGAAGGCCACAGGCACCACCAATTTTACTCCCCATGAACAAATTTTCTTTTCTCTTTTGGAGGAGAAAGAAGAAGGGGTTGGGGGGAAAACAGAGAAATATATTACAAAAGTGGCAGCACCTAACGCGCCCATCCAGACGTTGTGTTGTATTAATCCAGCCATGGTGGCTGAACCTCAGGAATAGGATTTTCTTCTGCCCAGGAGGAAAGTGAGGGAAAGCTAGCAAGAAGCAAAATGAAAAATAAAGACGACACACATGCTGGTTCAGATCAGAGTTTCACTCAGTCGCTTCATGGCCTTCCTTCCCTTCATCTACAATGTGGCTGATTCCACAGCTCTGCTCAGACACCGAGGCCTGTGATTGTACCGTGCTAATGGGGAAACTCACACACAACTTACTCGTTAGCCCAGTGCTGTTGATGTTTTGGTATTCAGCATAAAAAACTGCTTTTTCAAGCATTCCCAGGAAAATGACAGCTGCAATCCAGAATTGGATTCTTAATATATCTTTCCAATAACAGGCAGACCACATCAGCCAGAGCACGCCATATAAAATATAGACAATGCACATCACCATGTAATACTGTAGGGAGAGAAGCAATTTTAATCACATAAGCCTTTCTATTACTGTAAAACTGACATTTCTACATTTAGCTATCAATCCTTTATTTTCCAGTCACTATGGAAATAGAGGGCATGTCAGAGCCCTAGCTACTAAAGAATTACCATCACTGAGCTCTTAGAATTTTTAATTTTCCAATTATGATACAAAATTCATTTTTTAAAAATGATAAAACATACTCACAATCATGAGCGGCCAGTCTGATGCAGAGAGATAGCCTTTCGGCCCCACCATAGAAAGAGACACTGGTGAAAGGGAGGGTGGGGATAAAGAAAGTAAAGAGTTAAATTAACAATTAGCTTTCTCTAAAGTTTTAAATGTAAGCTCATTTCCCAGAAGGCTCCAAGAATACAAAGCAAGCTAATAAATGCTGAATTTTTACCTAGCTCACACAGATATTGGATAGTTACTAGTCATTTTATTATGTGACCTTATCAAGATACCTTTGCTAGTACACACTTGGTTGTAAAACCTGGGCCAAATCTCACCTCATGCAGACAGCAGAGTCGCACTGGCCATGAGCTGGACCCTGCTGAGTCACCAACCTCCTGAGGACTTTGTCTCCCTTCATGTAACTGGGATGAATGGCTGACCTCAAGTGCCTAATCTGGGTTGTTGTTTAAAACAGTGACAATAAACAGTGTACAAAACAGTGCAGAACTCACTGGGCTCAGCAACTGCTTCAGTTTCTGGCTAGCAGGGGCTCAATCCTGCCTGCTAAGGTGGAAGGAAGGGGGCACCAGCAAGGTAGCAGAATGGCATCAAGGTCCCTGCTCTCATGGCCTGGCCTACATCTCACCTGTGGGAGGAAGCCCTACTTCACATTCCTCCAGATGAGCCAACTCCACCAGGTTCCCCATAGGACACCAGTTTCCTCCACCAGACATAAGCTCTATGCCTCTCTGCAGTGATGCCTGTTCACCCCACTGCTTTCTGCCTCCTGTCCTGTGTCTCAAGTGGATAAACCAGACCAGAATGCAAAAGCTCAGGACCCTCACATGCTGCTGGCTACTAGTCAGCCCAGCACATGCCCACTCTGGAAAATGACAGCCAAAGGAATTCTGGGATGTGTGAAGGCCTCCATTCCCTTGAAAACTGCTTGTTGCAAGGACGCTCTTGCCCTTGGCACTAAGAACTATGGTTTAATGAGCCACAGAGGGACTACCTTGTAGGAGGCAGGGGAGCTTATAAACCCCAGAAGCCATAGTTGCCAGATGTGCTATTTCTACTCCTAAGCTAAAAACTGATGTTTTAAAAAACTTTTTGCCCTTGCTGATGTGACTCAGTTGGTTGAGCATCGAACTGTGCACCAAAAAGTCACTTTTTTGATTCCTGGTCAGCACACATGCCTGGGTTGCAGGCTGGACCTCCCAGTAGGGGGTGTGCAGGAGGCAGTTGATTGATGCTTCCTTCTCACATTGATGTTTCTCTCTCTCTCCCCGTCTCCCTTCCTCTCTCTCTAAAATCAATAAAAACATATTAAAAAAAAAAAACTTTTCAAAGCACAACCATTTTTAAATCCTGATGATGGCCACTTTCAAGGAACAGAATAGAATCTACTTCAAATACAATTAAAATGTTGCCTGCCTGTTATTTTTTTTTTTTTTTAGGTCTGGAAGGATTAAGAAGTTTTTATCCCACTATGAAACTTAAATTTTAAAAAATTTAACGTAATTAAAAATTTACCATATACTTTATACATTAAGTATAAAGTTTTAAATCCCTCAAATAAACATTTTTGTGTTTAAGAGAAATTCATTTTTGAATGATGTGTTTTAACAGAGAATGTAGTTTTGGGGCAATAACAGAAATACAAAACACAGTAAGCAGACAATAAACATGCATGCAATTTAAGTGTACCATTCAAATTCCAGTTTGCATCATTTTTTTCCGTTTTAATAGAAACAATAAGGAGGTGAAACCCATCTCTCTGTGTTCTTGCAACAATATCCTGAAACATGAAAAAAAATACTATGTTATTTTTAAATTTTATTTATTTATTTAATCCTCACCCGAGGACATTTTTGCATTTATCCTCAGATAAAATGGGAAGGAGAAAGAAGGAAGAGAGAGAGAGACACATCAATGTGAGAGACACACATCGAGTGACTACAACCAAGGTATGTGCCCTCAGTGGGAACTGAACCTGGGTCTCTCTGGTCCATGTGCTGTCGCTCTAACTGCTGAGCTAACCCGGCCAGGGCTTATGTTATTTATTTTTTCCTCACCAGAGAACATTTTTGCATTTATCTTCAGAAAGAGCAGGAGAGAAAGGGGGAAGAGAGAGAGAGAGAAACATCAACGTGAGAGAGACACATCGAGTGGTCACCAAGCGGGGCGGGTACAAACTGCAACTGAGGTACATGCCCTTAGCGGGAACCGAACCCAGGACTCTCTGGTCCAAGGGCCAACGCTCTAACCGCTGAGCCAAACTGGCCAGGGCGCTTATGTTATTTTTTTAAATTGGTATATAAGACAGAGATAAACAATTGTTTACCACATTTTTTCTTTTGGATCCTCACCCAAAGATATTTTTTCATTCATTTTTCAGATAGAATGAGACAGAGAGAAACACTGACTGGTTGCCTCCTGCACGAGCCTGACTGGGACTGGGGATCAAACCTGCAACTGAGGTACATGCCCTTAACTCTTCGGTCTGTGGGCCAACGCTCCAACTGCTGAGCCAAACTGGCTAGGGCTGTTTACCACATTTTAAAACAAGTTTTAATAAGTAAATCAGGTTACTTTTAAAAACCACAAACAGCCGTGGCCAATTAGGCTCAGCGGTTAGAGCATCGGCCTGAGGACCACAAAATCTTGGGTTTGGTTGTACCTTGGTTGCAGTTCAGTCCCCAGCCCTGGTCAGGATTGTGCAGGAGGCAACCAATCAATGTGTGTCTCTCTCAAATCGATGCCCTCCCGTCCCCCCCCCCCGCCCTCTATCTGAAGACAAATGGAAAATACCCTTGGGTGAGGATTTTAAAAAAACAACAAACCACAAACAGGTAACAGAGAAAAGGAATGGTGGGCAGTGCGAGGATTTATCCCCACACTTTTAAAAAAAAAGTTGATTTGAGAGAGAGAAACATCAGTTGGTTGCCTCCCACACATACCCTGACCAGGAATCGAACCTGCCACCTTTTGGTGTATGGGACAATGCTCCAACCAACTGAGCCACTCTGGCCAGGGCAATTCTCCCTGTTTTTTACCTCCATCCTTCCAGACTCAAAGGGATGGAGGAAGAAAAGAGAAGCCCTTTTCACTCTTTAATGTTTTCTACTTTTTATATTTCTACAGACTTTTCCTTAATGTTACCATTCTGTTTTATTTACTATCACCATTCTAATAGTTTATCTTCCTTTATTTTATCCAAACATCATCAAGTGTTCAGTTTTTCATTCTGTTTTTTACTTTAACTGTGGGAGGAAGAAGTCAGAAAACATTGTGAGAAATGACTCAGATTTCGTATATAGGTTAAATTATTTAAATTCTTCAAGGTACTAAGTTACTAGGAGTCCCACTGGGGACTAGAACTGCTGCTATCATGTCTATGACCCCTTCAAGGCCCCACACAACTGGGCCAAACTTCTCATATTCCTCCTTGCTGAATATTTCCTGTCCTTCCCTTTCATTTCCTCCTCCCCCACCTGCGACAGTTTGTCGAAAGCGTCTGTGCCAGCCCCGTGCCCCTGTTCCCACAGAGTGAATGCCTTTCCACTATCAGGCTATTCTTTAAAAAGGTGCAAGAAAATAAAAAACATGAAGTCACAGTGTAAAAGCAAACATTAAGCTCTTCTAAATCTGCTCTGTTCCTACACACAACTCCTCTAACCCTCTCAGCCTCTTGGTCTTCTGACTTTCAGTAATTCTCCAAAATAACAAATTTTCTCTCCCTTCCATGTTTCTACCTATTTCCTCACATCCTTAATGATGATACATACCAGCCTACTGTTATGCTGTCTTGTGCATGTGAAAGCAAATTTTATTTATTTTTAAATGCTTTTATTTTTAATTTAATTAAATAAATAAATAAACTTTTTGGTTAATCCTCACCCAAGAATCTTTTCCCATTGATTTTTAGGGAGAGTTGGGGGTGGGGGGCATCAGTGTGAGAGACACACATCGACTGGTTGCCTCCCATGCATCCCCAACCAGTACAGGGATCGAACCTACAACCCAGGTACATGCCTTGACTGGGAATTGAACCCAAGACCCTTCAGTCTGCAGGCCAATGCTCTAACCACTGAACCAAACTGGCCAGGGCACAAATTTTATTTTATTTTATTTTATTTATTTATTTATTTTTTTGTGGTACATGCCCCTAGCGGAAACCGAACCTGGGACTCTCTGGTCCACAGGCCGATGCTCAACCGCTGAGCCAAACTGGCCAGGGCACAAATTTTATTTTTTAAAGAAAATAAAGACTGCACGGAAGTTAACCTTAAATTATAACTTTAAAGAGATTTTTAAACAAAAACAGAAACAAATCTATACAAAACTGATATAGACATATGTAAGGAAATATACTGCTTTAAATAAAGGTTCTCCCCCCACCTTCAATTCTAATAACCCTACTTTATATCACTCTCCAAGTGCTCTATCCATCAGGAGATTCTTTCAGTCTTACTATAGCTTGTATATATTTGATTTACAGACAAATAAAATTACTTACCATTGAGTCTTCCTGGTTTGAAACATTTCTGATATTTGTAATTAGTTCTTTATTCTGGCAAAAAGAATAAAATAATTCCATTTTATATTGCTGCATTTCAATGGGGATAAATAATTTTAACAATTAAGAAAAAATGTATTGTGAAAACAGTAAAAATTTGAAAGCTGCATCCCAAACATGAGTAACAAAATCCTGCTTTGAAAAAATTACTTCCTTAATCAGGATAGTGGTGATGGTTGGTGGGGAGGGTACTAGGAAGTTAGAAGGAGCTCCAGGTGCTAAAATATTCATCAAGCTATATATTTCTGATATGCTCTCTTCAGTATGTTTATTACACTTCATACATTTTTTAAGTAATCCCTTTAAAATTTTTACTAAAGACATATTTTCATTTCAGAATTTGTAGAACAAAAAGTAAGTTAGAATGACCCATAGCCTCACTACCCAGGGATGACTGCTGGTAACATTTTAGAATCTGATCTTCCACGCTGGGAGGGAACAAGTGCAAAGAGAAGGAGAGTGTTCATGTGTGTTAAATTCTGACAGACTGGTAAGAGGAGCAGATTGCTGGACTGAACAACGTGGTCACTGGCAACCTTGACTGGCACTGTTTTGGTGGAACGATGGAGCAGAGAGAACAGAAGATGAACTAAAAGCAGATCATGAAAGGACGTTGCCAAAAAGGGGTACAAAGAAACAACAATGGTACCAACATCTTACTGATTATGTAATACCACATTCACAAAGATCTAAGCCTAAAAATGTACAAGTTAAGCACCTTAATAAAAATTTTGGTAAAACAGAATTCAAGCAGATACTTGCATGCACTGGGAGGAAGTTCTGTTTCAGCATGGCAAGATAAGATACTCACGTATAATGAGGGAAACACCTGCAAATCACTGTTGCATTCTAGATTTTCATTTTTTATTGTCCAACATTCAATGTTCTTGAAATAATTACTGCAAAAGTCTTCATCAACACTTTTAGGCTGCTCCTACCCAAGGTAAAATTTTGTTACAATTTATTTCCACACTTCTTATCCAAGAAGATAAATACAACTTAATATCTAAATAACACTAAACTTTTATTCAGTTTGGAACACTTGAAAACATGTAGAACAAAATATAGAAAAAAGATTTGAATATAATTTTAAGTAAAATTGAAGGATCATAGTATTTTTGCCATTCTAATGTGCTCAGATAGTAATATATAATACAGCCATAATCTTACAGTAAGAAAGCGATTAAGATGTTTTGAAATACACAATGCTTTGTGCTGGGGCTACTTCTATCTCATCCCAAGTATAAAAGATCTTAAGGAAAGCATTATTAACCAGGAGGAAAGACAAACCAGACACTTAGCAACACAGAGCAAAGGTGAGTGTAGGGGACACACTCATTTATGTATCAGGACATGGGGTTCTTCCCTCCTAGATGTAGGAATAAAACCTAATGGCAGCTTCTAGTCATCAAGAAAGTGCGGTTGCAGTTTGTCCCCGGCCCTGGTTGGTCGTGCGGGTGGCAGCCACTCGATGTGTCCCTTCACGTCGATGTTTCTCTCTCTCTCTCCCACTCTATCTGTACAAAAAATGGAAAAATATCCTCGGGTGAGGATAAAAAAAAAAAAAAAAAGAAAGTGGCTTCTGCTAACCAAATATGGGACAATTTGAGCAGAATAAGTAAAAACAATAATAAGTTATAACCCGTAAGAAAGTAAAACCAATGAGTCCATACTAATGACTGACTGGCAGATAAGTAAGATAGAAGAAAGGAGAGAGCTCATTCTCAGAGTAGAATGTTAATAATTGTAGAAGAAAACATGGATCAGAAAATTGCCATGTAGCCAACATCAGAGTAATAACTGATTCACTGGGCAAGAATCAGAGGATGTGAAAACAAGGACTGATGAGGAAATGGGATATTTATTTACATACAAATATAAAGTATTTCTTCACAAATTACTGTTAATAACAAAGAGAAAAGTAGTAAGTTTACAGTGGAGAAGGCTGGCTTCCCTAACCAACTGATCAAAAATGGGACAAACTAGGATTTTCTGGTATGCCTGCCCAATATAATCTGAATCTAATCATGAGGAAATATCAGAAATACTCAAATTGAAGGGCATTTTGTAAAAATAAATGGCTCGTACACTTCAATTACATCAATGTCATGTCATGATAGACCAAAAAAAGAAAAAAAAAAGTTAAAAAAATGCAATGCAATCCTAGATTGGCTTCTGTACTAGGAAAAAAAACCCAAAACTGATAAAAATGATGTTATTGGGAAAATTTTAATAAGGTCTGTTTAGATAATAGTATTGTTATCAATGCTAAATTTCCTGAATTTTGTAAATGTACTCGCAATCTAAATAAATATCATTGTTCTTAAGAAATACACACTAAAATATTTAGTGCAAAAGGGTAAAATATTTAGGGATAGAGTCAAAAAGGCAGTATTCGAGGAAAATGACATCTTTCACCCCCACTGGAAAGACAGTATAACTAAAATATGGAAACCCACACATCATTCAAATTAGAAGCCAGGAGATCAAAGATCAGCTGTAAAGGACTTGACGGCATCACTGAGAAAAGCAGCAGGATGAGGGCCCAGGGGCCCAGGGGCAGCACAAAGCCCACCGGCCTCCCTTCCTCTCTTACACAGGTCCCCCGCCCCCCACTTCCCCTCTTCACCTCGTTCTGAGATCTGCTCATATTAAATCTACCTATACTCACATAAGTTCTAGGTTTCCGATTACTAATTTTTAAATAAAATAAAATTTATTTATATGTCTTTCTTAAATTGATTTTTGTTTACATGTAATCCACAGTCCTTTCATTAATGATTCCAATATGTATGATTTAAACATTTACGAATATTTTTCATAAGATACAAGGAAACTAGAAGATTTGTATTCTTCTCAGAAAGCATATACTTTGGTAGAATTACAGCATGTATTACCTAAGGCCCAAAATAAATCTGTGGCACTTCAAAGACTATAATCTATATTTCTAGCCTCCTCGTCTGATGAGCTAATAAATCTTCATTCTCATAATTTTCCTTCATAGCTTTACATACATTAAGAATTTGTGTTGAGGTATCACCTCATACCTGTTAGAATGGCTATTATAAAAAAGATGAGACACGCATGGCTGGTGTGGCTCAGTGGTTGAGTGTCCATCCACGCACCAAGACAAGAGGTCGCCAGTTTGATTCCCCAGGTCAGGGCACAAGCCCAGGTTGTGGGCCCGATTCCCAGTGGGGGGCATACAGGAGGTGGCCAAATCAATGTTCTCTCTCACTGATGTTTCTATCACTCTCTCCCTCTCCCCTCCTCTAGCTCTAAAATCAATAAAGAGAAAAAATTAAAAAAAAAAAAAAAAAAAGATAAGACACAAGTGTTGGTGAGGATGTGGAGAAAAGGGAACCCTCATGCATTGTTGGTGGGGTTAAACTGGTACAGCCACTATGGAAAACACTATGGAGGTTCCTCAAAACATTAAGAATATGCCCTGGCTGGTTTGGCTCAGCGGTTAGAGCGTCAGCCTGCGGTCCAGAGAGACCCAAGTTCGGTTCCGCTAAGGGCGCGTACCTCGGTTGCAGTTTGTCCCCGGCCCTGGTTGGTCATGCGGGTGGCAGCCACTTGATGTGTCCCTTTCACGTCGATGTTTCTCTCTCTCTCTTCCTCTCTCTCTCCCCCACTCTATCTGAACAAAAAATGGAAAAATGTCCTTGGGTGAGGATAAAAAAATAAAAAAAATTGAGAATAACCCTGGCTGGTGTGGCCCAGTGGTTAGAGTGTCAGCCCAGGCACTGGAGGGTCACGGGTTTGATTCCTGGTCAAGGGCACATAACTGGGTTGCAGGTTCCATCCCCAGCCCTGGTCAGGGTACGTGCAGAAGGCAACCAAGTAATGTGCCTCTCTCTCTCTCCCCCTCCCTCTTTCCCACTCTATCTAAGAAAAAAAAAAAAAAAAAATCAATGGAAAAATATTCTCAGGTGAGGATTAAAAAAAAAGAATAGAACTCCTGTATGACTCAGCAATTCCACTTCTGGGTAATTTATCCAAAAATTATGAAAACACTAGTTCATAAAGATATATGCACCCCTGTGTTCACTGCACTATTATTCACAATAGCCAAAATATAGAAATAACCTAGTGTCCTTTGATAAATAATTTGATAAAGAAGATGTGGTTTATATACACAATGGAATACTACTCAACCATAAAAAACAATGAAATATAGCCATTTGCAACAACATGGATGGATCTTGACAGTATTATGCTAAATGAAATATGTCAGACAAAAATTATATGATTTTACTCATATGTGGAATAAAAAACAAAGAATAACAAATGAACTAACAAAACAAACACATACAAACTCACAGACAACAGTATGGTGGTTACCAGAGGGGAAGGAGGGTGGCAGGAGGGCAAATTGGGTAAAGAGGGTCAAATATATGATGCTGAAAGAAGACCAGACTCTGAGTGGTGAACATGCAGTAGAGTACTAGATATCAAATTATAATGTTGTACACATGAAATTTATGTCATTATTATATAACCACCAGTTATTACCTCGATAAATATAATTTAAAAAAATGTTTTACTTACATCCAGCTTAGAATATTCATTTTGGCAGGTATAATGCTTCAAATACCACTCTATGGTAAACTTCACAGGTTCAGAACAATGGAATGACTTAACTGTTCAAAATAAAAAATAAGTCTCATTTTTCAATAATGGTAAGATATATATACTCCAATATAAACTTCAGGTGTTAAGAATGCAATTAAAAATAGGCTACTTTAATGAAATAATGAGTAAAACATTACATAATTTCTCCAAAAGTCACTGCAAAACGAGACAGGTAAATTCATTAAATTAAATTATCGCAGTTAATCAAATGTTGCTATATTACTGTTCATTTCATCTATATGTTAAGTCCAGTGTTAAAATCAACTGAGTGACCAGACATATTGACACTGCTTACTTCACTCTAAGGTGTTTTCTCTTCACTGACTTACTCATTCTAAAAAGGAACATAATGGGAATCTAGAATAGTCCCTGTCCTTTACATAAGAGGTATCCGGGAAACAGAGGGTTAACAATTAAACAGGCCCCAGGAGAGCATGAAGAATGGGGTGCTGGCAGGCTTGCTGGAGGAGAAGGCCTGTAAAGTGAAGGACTTAGCCAGGTGAGGAGGAAGGTGGGAGAGTACAAGGCAGGAGTAGGCCCATCTGAAAATAGTGTGCTATGCCTAGAACATAGATTGGGGAAGCTGGAGAAAATTTATAAGGTATCTTATACTCTGCTAGAGAGTTTTCGTTTGTTTTGAATATTACAAAAGAAACACCAAATGTTTCAGGTAGGAGGGTAACAAGATTAAACAGACTGAAAAGAATTAAGTCTAGAATAAAACAAAGCTCTTTTGGGAGTACTGTCACAACATGGCAGCAAGTCACCAGAGAGAGTGGGCAAAGAAGCCACAGTGTCTTTTATGCCATTACTTCTGCCATATTCTATTGTTCAGATCAACCTTGAGATAATAACCTTGAGATAATAATGCAGGGGACCACACAGGTCATGAACACCAGGAGGCAGGGACCATTGTGAGCCATCCTGAAGGTAACTTAAGGGAACCCAAACTAAGACCAGAAACTGATGTCCAGAGGCTGAGGTTGGTAGAATGTCTGGGGCAGAGCACCCAAGAGTTCGTAGCTACACAGAGAAAGAGTAAAAGACCTCTGCACAGATATCCCCTTGAGTCTCTGGCTACACAGCAGCCTGCCCATGCACAGAGAGAAGCCTCACAAGTCTCAGTTCACACAAGTCTGGAATTGTTTGTGTTTCCACAACCCAGAGGTCAGATGTCTCATTCAATATGCCAAGCACTGGGGAGAGACATAGAAGTGTCACACCTTAGAAGTGATGCTAAATCAGGCCTGGAGTAAAAACTACTCCAGATCCATCCTAAAAGAATTACAAATAAAACTGGAAAGGATAGAACTGACCGAAAAGAAACTTAACTGTCTGCCAGAACAAAGTTGTTAAAGGAATGTATCACTACAACACTCAAAAATGCAAAATTCACAATATACACCATCCAAACAAAAACACTATATATAAAAGCAGGACAATTTCACTTAAAGCCATTATTTGAATCAGTCAATATGAAAAAGATGATGGAAATGACAGAATTAGCAGATAAAAATGTAAAAACAGCTATTATAAATATGTTCCATATGCTCAAATATGTAAAGAAAAATATGAAAATACTGATTGATAAGAGAACTAGGATATTTAAAAAAGAGCCAAACTTCTAGAGATTGAAAAATACAACATCCAAAATAAAAAGTTCATTTTATGAGATTAAGAGCAGATTAGATACTGCAGAAGAAAAAGATCACTGAAACTAGAAATAACAAAAATGAAGCACGGAAAGAAAAGAGACTGAAAAAATTAGCAGGGCCTCAGTGACCTGTGAGACAGTATCAGCAGTATACATACATAAATAGGGCCCCCGGAGGGGAGGGGAGGGCAGAGATGGGGATAGAGCTTCCATGGCCCAAGGTCAGAGTTGAGATGTGCTTCAGTGTGGATATCCAGTTGTTCCAGCATCATTTGTGGAAAAGACTGTCTTTTCTCTAATGAATTACCTTTGCTCCTGTTGAAAATCAATTAACCATATATGCATGTGGGTTTATTTCTGGCCCTTGAGTCTGATTCCTTGTTCTGGATGTCTATCCTTATGCCACTGCACTGTTATGACCACTGCAGCTTTATGTAAATTTTAAAATCAGATAGTAAAATTCCCTTCAACTTTGCTCTTTTTCAAAATTGTTTTGGCTATTCTAGGCCAGTTGTACTTACATACAAATTTTGGAAACAGCTAATTAATTTCTACATAAAAGACAACTTTGATTTCTATTGGAATTAACTGAATTTACAGCTCCATCTGACAGTATGTTAGCTATAGACTTTTCATAGAAGCCCCTTATCAGATTGAGGAAGTTTTTCTTTCTGAGAGTGTTTATGATAAATGGGTGTTGAGTTTTTCCTAATATAATGAGATGATTATATAGTATATTTCTTTTATGGTGAATTGCACTGAGATATTTTCAACAGTGGTTCCACATGACTGCATCTTGAATGAGGCAGCAAGAACGGTCACCTAAGGGAAGTGAGACATCTGATCCACCAAGCAGCATGGCCAAATACCCAAGGAACCAATTCTTAGCTTGCAGGCACTAAAATCTGGCTCTGTGAAAACGCAGAAACTCAGTCTCATGCCTTTAGCACACCACTGATGTAGATGTATAAACTAGAATGCCCAATTACTCATTTAAAATGCACAGTAACTGAAAATGGGTGATGGGTAATAATCAACTAGTGCTCTCCCTCCAGCATGCCTTCCTAGGTGTTCAATGGTGACAAGAAGGCTGCTGGGTGAACATGGCACCAGAACAAGAAGTCTCAGATGGATGCTAGATCCACACCTGCCAGCCACATGTCACAGCTACAGGCAGAGTTCACCAACACCTCTTTCGGTCCATACCATTGGACACAGCCAGCTTTTTTTTTATCCTCACCCAAGGACATTTTTGCATTTATCTTCAGATAGAGTAGGAGGGAGAGAGGGAAGGAGAGAGAGAGAGAAACAACGATGTTGAGACACATCAACTGGGTGCCATCCACATGACCCCAACCGGGGCCAGGGACAAACTGCAAACAAGGTATGTGCCCCTTAGCAGGAACCAAACCCAGGACTCTCCGGTCCATGGGCCGACGCTCTAACCACTGAGCCAAACTGGCCAGAGCAGACAGTCAGCTTTTACCTGACTAAACCCTCACTTTCTTATGTGTTTGCTCCTAACTCCTAACTCCTGCTGCTGCTCGTTCTTTCTTTAGATGTCTTAACTGTGGTCTACTCTTAGGCTGATCTCTGACATTATATATTGACTTGTTTTTAAATCAAATTCTGTGTTTCACTGGTACATATAACTTTCCCTGCCACGTAACTTCTTCGCCTGTACCAGTCTTTTAAATCTTATTTGTCTGGACACTGAGACATGAATTCATTAAAGCAATCAGCTGCCAACATTTTTTCCTCACCCACCTTGGACTTCAATTTCCTCTTACCAAGCTCTTATCACCACTGATGATCTGATATACCCGAGCTGCTTTGAACACCTCTGCTTTCTAGCGGATGGCTGGCCCACTTCCCTTAGCAAAGACCCACATGTGGCAAACTCCCCCAACAAATGATTAGAGCAGAGGGTGACAGAGAAAAGGGTCATAGCTTTGGATCCCCAGGAAGCTAATCTGTTACCCAACAAAAAATTACTCTTTATCCCAAAAGTTTAACCCTGGCAAACAACTTACCCAGTCAGGTTACTGGAAACACTAAGAGGAGTTGGACCACAGTAAGTACAGTCCAATGTAAACCCATTAAAGACATTGAAAACCTCTAGATCAATGACTTGGGTCATCCTCACACAGCAGTATTTACATGGGCAACACAGTCCCTAACAGATATTTTTACTTTCATGAGCCCTAAAATATTAACATCTTGTAATTTTTTTTTTAATCCTCACCCAAGGACATTTTTGCATTTATCTTCAGATAGAGCGGGGGGGGGGGGGGGGGAGGATCGATGTGAGAGAGACACATTGATTGGTTGGGGAAAAACTGCAACTGAAGTATGTGCCCCTAGCAGGAACCAAACCTGGGACTCTGGTCCGCAGGCTGATGCTTTAACTGCTGAGCCAAACCGGCCAGGACAACATCTTGTAATTTTTATTTATACTATTCATCATACGTATATTTAGAAAATTTTGAGGATCATAAAGGTTTTATCACAATCATGACAATTCATGTATTCATAAAAGGAATTTATCTGGTTTAAAAGCTGAGATCTAGGGTTAAATTTCACAGAAGTCAAATACTTTTTTGCCAAAACCAACTTTATTAGACTTTAATTATAATTTTTAAGAAATGATCATTACATTTTCTGAACAGAAAAATCTATTCTTGAAAATGAGCAAGAGTTGACAGAAACAAAAGAAACCCTTAAAATGTCAGAACCACTTAAAAACAAAGTGTTTGCCTAGTGTATAAAATATAATACTGTTATTATTAGCCTACATTAAATTAATGCATTACTTTATAATATACTACATAATGTTACTCATTTATGATATATTGTTATATTAGGATTACATTAGTTTATAAGACTTACCAGAAAACTTGATATCAGTACAGTTAAACATAATTTTTCGAAATATCAAAGGTCCTGATTTCTAAAATGAGAAACAATATAGAAAAATCATGTTAAATTTTTTTCCTTTCCTGTTTAACAGTATTGCTTTACCCTGGAAAACATATAGTTCTAATCATTGCCGTCCTTCCTATGACCAGAGTCATTACTTTTTAAAAACAGAACTCATTTGCTTAAACCCTTGCCTATGGATCTCCTCCCTGCAGCTGATATGAGGCTCCAGGATGTCCCTGCCACCAGAGTCCCAGCCAGGGCCAGTAACACCTAGGAGGTGAGGGCTGTTGCCACTGCACCACTATGCTGCTCCGACACAGGACCTGCCTGTGCACCTGCAGTTGGTATCTCTGTGAAGGTACTTCCGATAGAACAGCCAGCCCTCTCCCTACACTGTGATGGTTCACCACCGTGACTTACAGCAGACCATTCTCACTGCAGCTCACAGGACCACCCACCTCTTGGAACCTTTCTTTCAGTTCTGCCAAAGCATGGTACTCCTTCCTGCCCTCATGATATTCCTTCCACCTATAAACTTATTTAAAAGCCCTTCCCACTCTGGCTGGTTTTGCTCAGTGGTTAGAGCATCGGCCTGCGGTCCAGAGATACCTGGGTTCAGTTCCCGCTAAGGGCATGTACCTCGGTTGCAGTTTGTCCCTGGCCCTGGTTGGTCGTGTGGGTGGCAGCCGCTTGATGTGTCCCTTTCACGTTGATGCTTCGCTTTCTCTCTCTCTTCCATTCTATCTGAACAAAAAATAGAAAAAAAAAGTCTTCGGGCGAGGATATTAAAAAAAACAAAAAAAAGCCCTTCCCTGTCATTCTTTCTTCAACTCATCAATTCCTTCCTACTATTCAAAGCCTAGTTCAAAAGTCCTTACTCAGAAGTCTTCCACCATACCCCACACCAGGCCAGACCCTCCCTTATGAGGTCTCTGGGACCCAATCTTCTTCTCAACCCTTCCCACAATTAAAACAAAATAATGTATTAGTTATTAGATGTCTGCCCACACCAAGAATAAGAATGCTGTGAAAAGGGACTGTGTTAAACAAACAAGGGGTTAGGAATGAATGAAAAACAGATAGGACAGGCAGCTCTTTCCTAAAAACCCCTCCCCCCTCCCCCACATAGTTTCAACAATAACTATAAATAATAGAATCCCTAGCCTTGATCAACAATAAACCCACAGCCCAGATCCCTTCTTTGAGCGCCAGATCCACATATCCAACCACCTACATACAGGTCATGTCCACTGGGATGTCCAGTACACATTCCATACCAATCTTTCCTAAACCAGACCCGTGCCTCTCTGCTCCTCACCAACTCTTCCTGTACTGTCCACCTTGGTTGTAGGTGATGCCATCTGACATAATAAAAAAAAAAAGATTCTGACTTTTAAAAAGTAGACCTGGCGTTTCTGTGCCCAGCCTGCCATATAGTATCTACGAGCAGAGCCAAATGACAGCTATGCTCTTCATAAGGAGCATGTGCTCTGTAGTCCACTGCACCCTCCACCATCCCCTCCAGTCCTGAACCCAGCTCACTTCACTCACTGATCTACGACTTGCCTCAGACCCCACAGGTCCTTGAGTTTAGACCCCTGGCATCAGGCTCAAGGCTAAGTTCAGACATAGGAGGCTTATGGTGGCCTGAGTCCCCTGTGACACTCTTAACAGAACACCACTCAGCAGAAACACTACTGACTTCCTTCACTGCTGCTGCTCTCTCCCTCCTCCTTCTTCACCTAGGTAACGGCTACTCATCTTTTAGGACCCAGCCAGCCAATGACCCCAGACAGCAGGTTTAGGTGACTCCACAGTGCTCCAGTAAGATGCCCAGAATGTTACCATGTATGTAATTACTACTCAAGAATCTGCTGTCCCTACTGTGTGAGCTTCTTGAAAGGGCTGTTGTCTGAAATTCACCTTTGCAACAGAAATGGCCAGTACAGTGCATGGTGCACAGTAGGTACTCGAACTATTTGCTAACCTTTACAATCAAAACAACCTCTCTTGCCCTGGCCAGTTTGGCTCAACAGTTAGAGCGTTAGCCGGCGGATCACAGTCATGGGTTCGATTCCAGTCAAGAGCACATACCTCAGTTGAAGTTCAATCCCCGGCCCTGGTCAGGGTCATGCGGGAGGCAATCAATTGATGTGTCTCTCTCACACTGGTGTTTCTCTCTTTCTCCTTTCCTCTCTCTTAAAAATCAATAGAAACATATTTTTTAAAACGATACAGTTGTAGTACAAATGAAAGAAAGCCCCACTCTCCTGTTCTGAAGGACAAGTTCTGACAACTTGAAATGGGGGAAGGATCAGCCTATTCTTTGCAAAGGACTTTCTGGACTGCTCCTCCCCGGAGTCACACAGCACTACACATTATGTGGGACCCAAGGAATATGTCTCTTCTTCAGGCAGGAAGCAAAGTCATTCTTTCCCAATGGCCTTTGGAGTCTCACTATCCAAAGTATACTTGGCAAAGATCTTTACGGATCTGTATGCAGCTGTTTCACTTCCAATACTATTTATTGACTTAGTTTATGACACAGTCCATTCACTACAGGAGCCCTGGATTCTGCTTCTTACTGATCAGAGAAATTCAATAATAGAAATGGGCAGGCTTTATCACTGCCGCACATATGGGGGCACAGGGTCCTAGAAGAAATGGTTGCCCTGGGTGGGAAAGATTCATAAAGACAGCCACTTCCATTCCTCTGTGCAGTTTTTATGTTGTAGGAAGCACAGCCTCTGGTTCTATGCTGTTTCTCTGGTTGGGAAAATAAAAATGTTTTGTCTTTAGAAACTGGACATCACTTCCATGGGTGTGAAAAAGACTTATGTTAAACAGATATCGCCTCTTCTCGATTTCCTGTCCCTCTTCAGCAAGACTTTCCAAAACGCGACCCCTGCACTTCCCCACATCGTGCGAGTAACCACCGGACGCGTGCTCAGACGGCCCGTCCGGAGGCAGGTCCCGGGCCGCGGCCTGCACACCAGCCCACACGCTCCGCCGCCACACGTCCGCTCCCAGCTCCGGACCTCGGGGGCCAAGGGGGGAGGGGTGGGTGGCCCCAGCAAGCCCCCTTCCCATGCACGAGAAAGCGGAAGCGGCGTCCGCGCTTGCTCCTTTCTGCCGGAACTAAGTGGGAGTCCTCCGCGTGGCCTCGCGGTGTGGCCCGGGACGCCGCTGAGTGCCGAGGCGGGCTCGGTCCTCAAACGAGGCCTGACGGGGCCACCGAGCAGCCGCCTGCCCCGTCGCTGTCACTCCCTGGCCGGCTGAGGAGGAGCACCCGCGGGGCAGAGCCTGCCCGGGGACGCCAGGCCGAGAGGCGCCACTTACGTTGCTGACCGTCGCTTTCCAGCGCCCGGGCTCGGGGACCGCGCGCACGGCCGCCGGGGCCCAGCACAGCAGGCAGAGCGTGGCGCGCAGCAGCGGAGCCCCGGCCGGCGGGCGGCGGCGCGCAGCAGCCATCTTGACGCGGAAGCCACCTGGGTGCGGGACGCCCGCTCGCCGGCCGCACCTGTGCCGCTCCGCCCGGAGGCCAGTGTGTTCGAACCGGGCAGCCCAGCCGGAGGATGCGCAGGAGCGCGGGAAGCGGGGCGGGCCCTGGGCGTGGCCGGCGTGGGCGTGTCCTGGGCGGGGCCAGGCGGGGGCGGGGCGGGCCCGCAGGAAGACTCGGGTCCCAGGCCCCGCCTTGCTGTGTGTTAGGGCTGGAGATGTGAACAGCCGGGAAAGGAGTTCGGAGTTCAGGTTCTGCGCTGTTTCAGTTTCTTGAATCCTTTGAGCGTGAAAAAGTGCTTTGAGGTCTGGGTCGGTGGAACCCAAGGCACTGTGATGTGAACAGTTAATAATTTTCAGAACGCATGAAGTTGCGTCATCACTTTAAAGTTCATGGGGCAGGGTTTGGATACTTTGACCAGGATCTTCAGATGTCTTATTGGCAAAGATAATTATTTTTTAAAAAATTATTATTATCGAATGCAAATAATCACGAGGAAGAAGACAATCCTAGGTTAACATTGTCATTAACATTGTCATTAACGCAAACTAAGACCCTGGCTGCCTTATCAATCACCCCAACCATTTGCAGCCGGTAGTTACTGAGGGTCTAGTGTGTACTTGAGATTGCATGTGATCTGCCTTTTCCAGCAAGCAGTGCGATCATTTATTTCCATGACTGTGGCAGTAACAGTGTCAGAGGAATGTCCACCACAGATTTACAAGGTAGGCCAGGTGGAAAGAGAGGACATGAAATGACATTGGAAACCTACAGCAGTTAAAGGTGAGTTAGCCGTGAGAGTCAGGGGTAGGTTTGCAAGGTGTTTTAGTTAAGAACAGCCTGTACCAAGGCCTGAGGGAGTTGAAAGATCTTCCAGATGACTAGATTTTGGTGTGAGAGAAAGAATATTTCAACAGAACCAGATCACACAAGTCCTCCTAAACCATATCAAGAAGACAGTGCTTTAGTCCAAGAACATCAGACAGGCAGTCTAGTTTTTAAGCAAGGAGGATGAGGTGACCAGAAGGGTCATTTTTGTCATATGAAAACTGTTCAGGTGGGCAATAGGGTGACTAATTAAGAATATTTAAACATTTTTATGACCAGTTATGAATAAGTCACTTTTAGAGACAGTGGTCTCAACCACAGAAGTAGCCCCGAGGATGGAGATTTGGAGGGATTCCACACACGTGGAGGGTGGAGATTTGAAATAAGAAAGCCTGGTGATTCTTTAGATACTGGGGCTTAGGAAGGAGAGGAGTTGAGGCTGGTACCAAGGTTTCTGGCTGAAACAAGTGAGCTGTGGAACATCCTGAGGAGGAGAAAATGTGAATAAGTTAGGTCTAACCTCCCCCAGGGATGTCCAAGTGGAGCAATATAGTGGGTATGAGTCAGGAAAAGCAATTGGAATTTTGTGGTCATGTAGATGGAGTTTGAGGAGGGCGAGACTGACGAGAGAGACCAGAACAGCGGGAGGAGAGAAGTGGGGGCTGAATCCTGAGGAATAGAGCCATGAAAGAAGTAATCAGAGCAATGAGATTCAGTTCTAGCTGTGTAGGAAGGTCGCTGAGGAGCTTTACAAAATACCCAGTCGCCAATTCTGGAAAGACGGTGGAATGGTGTAGTTTTTAGTCTACCTGGATTTTCCCATAATCTTCCCCTAAAATAATATAACCCCAAATCCACAGGCAATGTGCACAACACAATCAGGATGAAATATCCCCACAAAACTCCAAGTATAAGTAGGCACTATCAACATCTGGACGGGAGGAAGCTGGGGGAACAATGGGATATCAGAAGGACCTGAGAGAGGAAAATACCAAATCCCCAGCAGGTGCTCACTGGAAATCCAAGAACAGAGCTGGAGCAGAGAGGGAGCTGTGTAGAATGAGATTTGCAAGTGAGGGCAGAGATTTGCAAAGTCAGGAGTCTGGGTCTTGCACATTCTTGAATCTAACAAATGGATGCTTTCATCCTAAACAGTGTTCCACAATGAAGAGAAACTATTGAAGCAGAATTTAGATTAAGCAGTGTGGGAGACTGTTTGCATGGCATCCATTTTGCTAAAATCTGCTCTGCCATCTCCTGCCCCAAGGCAGGATACCTCTGTATACAATGTTTCTGCATTCCTTTAAGTAACCATTTACTCAGCCTGTTATGCTCTGTTTATCATTTGTTCCACCCGGGATATTTACGTGATATTTACTTGAAATTGCTTCAGGGTGGTTACCACAAACTTACCGCTTGGCAACAAATGTTCTTGTTTTTCTGCTTCTTGCCCTATATATATACTGTGGATCTCCCCAGAATAAACGAGACTTGATCAGAGCCCTGTCTTGTCTCCATTTCTCATGTCTCTTGTCCCTCCTCATCCTCACTCCCCCTCTAGAGTCCTCGTTGCTCGACCTGCGGGACGGGTCAAAGCAGGACAGGCACAGTATGAGAGAAAGAAAGAAAAAGTTCAGATAGAAGTGGGTGAGTTGAACAGAGCCAAGAGATCTGAGCAAGTTCAAGGCCATTTTCTTAAAGTAGTTCATAAAAACAAGAGGGCACTGTAAAGATGAAGCTAGAACTTGTATTCAATTCAGTACTTCCTAAAAGTTCATGAAAATTAATTTCATATAAAATACAAGTGAAGTTATATATAATATATATGTATGTATATACATACACACATACAGTTATAGGGTGAAAGAGAATATGGAACAAAATACATCCCTTCAGAGAAGAAATGTGTGCCAGAAGGAGGTGCCCACAAAAGAGCTGAAACTGCAACCTACTATGTCATAATGAGTTAAAAGAAATTAGTAAAATGATAGGAGCTATGAGTTTTCTAATGCAGAGGAAAAGGTGATAGAATTTAGGAAAGAATTAGAGATAAAAAGCATTTCAGAAATAAAGAATAGGAAAGAATTAGATAAAAAGCATTTCAGAAATAAAGAATAAACTAGAAAACAAGGGTGAATAAAAACAAATATTAAAAATAAAAAAGTAAAAGATAAATATTAAAATCTGAAGTAAATGTAGGTGATATAAGAATTCATGAGGACATTTTAAATCTAGAAGATAGATAAAGCAAAACCAACATTAATAAAATAGGAGACTGAATTAAGCAATGCAATAGAACAAATAGTAAAAAGTATAATTCAAGAAAACATTCTTGAAATAATAAATGATCTACATAATGAAGGGCACATTGAGGTGGGGGGTGAAATTGACCAACAAAATAAAATATACTCAAGTAAAAACTATGAGACTTTTTGTTGTTAATCCTCACCCAAGGATATTTTTTCCATTTATTTATTTATTTACTTATTTATTTTATTTTCCTAGAGAGAGTGGGAGGGGAGAAAAACATCGCTTGTGCCCTTGACCAGAAATCAAATCAACGATCCTTCCGTCCTCTGACTGATGCTTTATTGCAGAGCCACACTGGCCAGGGCTATAAGACTTTTATAAAAGAGAAGATCCATTGTGCATTCACGTAAAAAAATGAGTTTTTATATGAAAAAAAGACCAGATTGTTATAAAAAAAAAAACTTTGATAATTTCTTGTACCAGAAGATAATGAAATAACACCCTTAAGATACACTATGAAAGAAAATGAGCTCTAAGGTTTTTAAAAAATTTATCCACAAGCCATGTACAAAAATGTTGCTAATAGTGTTATTTGTATTAGCCCCAAACTGGCAACGACCCAAATGTCCATCAGCAATGGAATGGAAAAACTATTCATCCAACTGAATACAGCAATGAGAATGAACCAACAACAATCACATGATTGAGTCTCACAAAACAACACTGGGCTGAAGAAGCCAAACACATAAGGATACATATGATATGGTTATGGTTCCATTTACTTACAAAAAGTTCACAAACATGCAAAACCAATCTACGGTGTTAGAAGCCAGAATGCTATCCAGTGAGTTGGATTCTGCAGGTCCTCTCCCAGTTTGAGCCACTGTTCTCATATTGGCCTGCTGTACTTTCCAATGAGTACTGCTGGGGGCCTTTGGGGTTCTGTAACTCAGATCTAGCAAATGCCCCCTGGTGGGGGGGGGGGGGGCTACTGACTGAGGTATGCACTTTTCTAAATGCATGTTATCTTTACTTAAAATTTACTGTAAACATACCCATGGTTGTGCCCTTCCCCAAATCAATGACATCCTTATCTTGGGACTCAGGCTTTGGTAATTTTTTTAAAAATAAATCTCTCTTGGAAATTGCAATGTGCAGCCAGTGTTGAGAACTCCTACGAGGGAAACTAGGAGAGGCTGAGGGGAAACACAGTAAGAGGTCTGGGAAGAAATGAACATGCATTGAATTTAACAGATGGGGAACTCTGTCAACCCCTGCAAGAGAATGTTAGGGCAGAAATCGAAGGGGACTCAGGCATGAACTGGAAGGAAAATGACAGTGTCACAAGAAAGCTCTTGTTAAGATTGAAAATGTAGAATAGAAGAGGTAAAAGAAAATATATGCATCTGCCTATGTTTGCAAAAATAAACAAAGGACAAATAAAACTGAAATAGTGAGATTAGCGATATAGAGGATGCAAGGGTTGGAAATATAAGGGTCACTTCTAGTATAGTTTTTTGTATAGTTCTGACTTTTTGTGGGAGACGGTTTGCATGGCATCCATTTTGCAAAAATCTGCTCTGCCATCTCCTGCCCCAAGGCAGGATATCTCTGTCTGCATCTCTGCATACAATGTTTCTGCATTCCTTTAAGTAACCATTTACTCAGCCAGTTATGCTGTTTGTCTTTTGTTCCACCTGTGATATTTACATGATGTTTACTTGAAATTGCTTCGGGGTGGTCACCACAGACATGCTTGGCAACAAATGTTCTTGTTTTTCTGCTTCTTGCCCTATATATACTGTGGATCTCCCCAGAATAAACGAGACTTGATCAGAGCCCTGTCTTGTCTCCATTTCTCGTGTCTCTTGTCCCTCCTCATCCTCACTCCCCC